TGTGGAAAGATGGTGCAAAGGCGTTGACTTAAATCCAAGCAAGAGCATTTTGGTCGCCTTCACCAGACGCAGAAGCAGGGATAGATTAACGAGCCCAATTCTGTTTGGTGAACGTATTAGTTACTCTAGGGAGGTGAAGTATCTGGGGATAACCCTGGATGATCGTCTCTCTTGGAATACCCATATAGATAGAGTTACCGGGAGAGCTACGGCGGCCTTGTGGACGTGTAGGATCTTCATCGGGGGGACCTGGGGAATTAGTCCCAGAATAGCACTGTGGCTATATACGGAGCTTGCTAGGCCCATCGTCACCTATGCGTCGATTGTATGGAGCCGTAAGGCTCAGTAGGCGGGTGTACGGGCCAAGCTGGAAAAGCTACAAAGGCTGGGCTGCCTGGGACTGCACCTCCATATATTGAAGGAAGCTCGGCTAGTGACTTACCGACTTCTCTCTGGCGAGGAGGGGGCAGAGCTAAAGTTGGCCCACAGAACTCACAGAGACTTCATTGAGAACGATCCGATTCTAAGAATAACCAGCTGGTTTGGAGCTGCCTTGCTGCACTTATGGAGTTGGCATCGGAGAACAGAGTGACACTCATTTGGGTGCCGGGCCATAGGGGCCATGCGGGCAACGAAGTTGCCGATGGGCTGGCGCGGAGGGGATCTGGGGCTGACTTTGTGCAGCCGCTGCCTTTCTGCTGTCTGCCTCCTTCCGCCGTGGGGGCCAGGCTTGCCTGCCTGCTCGCGGCGGAATGCGGCCGTCACTGGCGAGACACGAAAGGGTGCCGTCATGCGGAAGTGTTTCTTTCGGTGTGCTTCAGCGGATTCACCGCAGAGTTTCTGGGGATGAGCAGGAGCCGGGTTCGCACTATTACGAATTTCTTCACGGGGCACTGCCCAATGAAGTACCACCTGCTTAGGCTGTGGAAGTCGGGCTACCCGCTGTGCATATTTTGTGGGGGTGGCGATGAGACCGCCGTGAATATTCTCTGCGACTGTTCGGCGTCGCAATTGTCTTGGACATGGGTCCCTAAGTGTTCGGGAACTGTTGTCCAACTCCCTTAGCGATATCTCCGGCTTTGTGGTCGGGACAGGGATATTATAAACGGGAGAGTGGGCGGGCTACAATAAGTCAAAAATGACTGCGGTGGCTTGGGGGGTTACTCCTGTCCCACTCTGTTCCCTTACAATCTACGCATGTATTGGTGGGGTATTACGCTCCACCCCTACTCAGGTTTTCGAAATTCTCTTCCATCTGCCGCCATTAGGTGTGTTGGGTTGGCAGATGGCTGCGGAATCTGCGGTGCGTTTGCGGGCTGCATCTCAGTGGTCTTGTGCCCCTAGGGGGCATGCTTCCGTTCTCTTGGATTGTGGACATGCTGTGGAGTCAACTGATTATGTGCCCCCGGTGCTCTCATTCACGAGGAACTTTGGGACCTCGATTCCGCTTAGGGAAGCCTGGCTGAACGAGGGAGATACTGACGACGGATCAGTACATTTTTACACGGATAGATCCAAACTCGGTGGCAGGGTGGGCGGGGGAGTTTATTCTGAGCAATTAGATGTTGAGCTCTCCTTCTGTCTGCCGGATCACTGTAGGGTATTTCATGCCGAGGTGGACGCAATTGGGGAGGCTCTGCGCTGGCTTGGGTGCAACGTCGTATCGGCTGGTGGCGTCAGTATTTTCACTGACAGCCAGGCTGCGATAAGGGCACTGGGCAGTTCGTCATCTAGAACGGCACATCTAGATCGGTCCGGGACTGTAGGTCGTCTCTTTCGTAGAGACGACCTACAGTCCCGAACTGTAGGCAGTTTGAAACAAACCTGGTCTGGGTCCCCGGACATAGTGGGGTTCCGGGTAACTGCAAGGCGGACGAGCTTGCGAGGCATGGATCTACTCTGGAGATTCCACCTGAAAAGGAGAACTTGGGCATGCCTCTAAGAATCCTAGGGCTGCTACTGCGCAACGAGGCAGTGGAGCGCACCAACCTTAGATAGGCTAATGGAGCAACGTGTAACGCGACAAGGAATTTGTGGCCAAAGCTGGATTTACGTCGCGCAAGGGATCTGATCCTTCTATGCTCATGTCCGGCACTGGCGAACTCCAGGCAGAGATTCCTTGGATCTTACTTTTTCGGGCACGCTACGGACTTGGCGGATGTAAGCGTTAGGAATTTGAACCGATTTTTAAAGGGTTCGGGCTGGTTCAGGTGAAAAGCTGGAGGGAAGATATCCGGCGGTACCACAAAGGGTCTAGTTGGCCTATGTATACACTTCGGGGAGCCGCGACAACCTAACCTAACCTAACCTTGTCTTTGCTTCTACTATTGAAAAAAATTTGTTTATTGCAAGAAACATCTTGTTATGTGTGCCATACCGCTATTCTTTAATGTTACCTTCTGACCTGAAATGAAAATACTCGAAGTTTTCTTTTATTATAAAGAAACGCAGCTTAAAATTTTAAAACGTTTTTTTTTTTTTTGATAAAAAAAATATGCACATTAACTTAATTAAATAAAAAAATGGAAAAAATAAATCCAGGAAATAAACACAAAGCTTAATACATATGAAAAGAGTAATCAAAAAAAAAAATCGTTTAAATTAATTTTTTATAAATTCAACATTTTATTTCCCATTTCTTTTAATTACAAATCAAATTCAAATGTAAATAAACATGTAAAAAAATAGAAAATATTATGAATAATAAAATACTAAGAAAAAGAAAACAATAAAAAAACCTTGCAATTTGAAACGCCTTGGCGCCAATCTAAACCTTGTCAAAAATAAAAAAAGTCTTCAAAATATAGTTCCTAGAAATGAGCTTTAAATTATATAACAAATAAAAGAAAATATAACAGTTTTTCCACTACCTCAATTTTTACAAAAGGTGACTGGAAAACAAACTACGCAATCTTTTCGTCATTTTAACTATTCAATTATGTACATACAAACATATTTTTTGTGTACATTATATATATATAGGTTGTCTATATACTATATTTTACATTATGTCTATTTAAATTATTGCAATAATGTAGTTCCTTTGCATATATAAAAGTTATAGCAACATGAGAACTTAATAATGTGTACATGTACTATGTGAATTGCTGTATGATCATACTATGTACATAACAAGTACATAACAAATTTATAATGAATATTTATATAAAAAAAACTAACATAATCCAATCAGTAATATAGGACTGACTGCTAATTATTCACATATAACATTAATGTTGTTCTATGCTCAAACTACAAAACAAACCATACGACGTCCAACGTAAATAGCTAAAATAGTGTAAAAATAAAATAATTTACTATTGGTTTTATTTTCGATTGTATTGGTTTGGTTCTTATTTAATTTTGTGTTTAATTTTCAAACATAAATAAAAAATATAAAAATTTAACAGACATTTTGTATGTGAACTAGTTTTTACACTTTACTCACAATTTTTGTTTCTTTTTGTTTCGCCTATCTTTATTTCACCATATTTTACATTTTATCCTATATACATACATGCCACATAATGAGTGTCTTTTACAATTTTTCAATTCTTTCATATAAGTGTGAGAATATTGAAGGTATACATAGAGTAGGATATCATTATCATCCTGAATTCTTCAGTAGGCCCCCTAAACGCGAGCGAATTTTTCAACTCAAAATGGAGTTGAAAAATTCGCTCCAACGCAAATTGTGTTTGTTTGTGTTTCAATGCGTTTATTTATAAGCAAAATTCAAATCAATTCCCAGCAAACCTTACACACCCCATTTTATTCAGAAAAAAATAATTCCTTTGTTATGGTCTGCACACGAATTACCTCATCGGTTCTAATTTGATCAAAAATAAGGTCAATGTTCGTGTTACAGTCAATGACAAACATTCTTGCATTTATACAATAAGTGCTCCCACCGTTTCGTCCTATTCCAGACATCCTTTTCAGATGGATCATCGAAAGGTAATGTCCAGGGAGTACACCAACCAATAGCCTCTAATTTGGACAACCAAGTGTGGCCAGTTCCCGCCCTTTCGGTCCTGCATGACACATAAATTTTTTGAAGTGAAGTAGATATCGAGCTTTGATTTGTTGAGTTTGTAAATATAATCGAATTTGAATGACCAACAAATTTCAGTAAAAATCCATACTATAATGGAAATCTAAAAATTATGTGTCTACTTTAAAATAACATGGTAAAAATTTATACCGTTATTTTACTTTTCTTTTTTATTCAGCTTTAAATACTGGCTACTTTTCCTTATTCTTTTTTTTCCTTTCATTTTGCAAAATTTTCTTTTATTTTTTTATTGTACCTATATTTTGTTTTTTAACTAAATTTAGTGTGTCATGTTGCACTCGATTTTTCTATTGAACCTAACAAGCAGGTGAAATTTTTTACGGAAAAAATTAAAATATAAATCTCTTCTCCTTTTTGTAAACTTTTATTTCTTGTAAAATAAAAGCGGTCAAAATTTAAATGAATCCTGTATAAGAATATGAAAAAAATTTGGTTTTGAAATTTTAATGTGAAATAATTTAATAATATTTTTTATATATAAATATTAAAAAATACAAAGGTTTGTATATGTGTATAAAGTACAACATCCCTTACTATAAAGGATAACATCTTTTAAAATCTACATCATTTTAAAATGCATTGAAGGATAATATTGGGTTAATTTATTCCATTTATTCAGATATTAAAGGACAAAACAAAAAATTGAATGTTTTAGTTATTTAAATAAAATGCATTTGATAATAAATTGTTTGTAAAACAAAAAATTAAATATTAAATAAAAAATATTAAGTGCATGTTATTAAACAATAGAGTGAAATAAAATTTACTATTTAGTTATGTTTCCGGAATACTTAATGAGCATTAGGTGCTTAAGGCATAACTTAGTGATTTTTTTTTTGAAACTAAATAAAATTATTATTTAAGTTATATTTAAAGTTATTGGTTATGAAATATTTTATTTTTCTCTAAAATTACTCAAATTTTGCATTTAAAGACTGAAGGTCAGTTCTTAAATAAAGTTTAAATAAATTAATAATGGTAAAAAATTATAATTTACAAATAGAATTTTAGTTTTGGGGAAAACTGGTGTTAAAAATATTACTAGTGTTGTGAGGTATTTAATCAAAATGAATAAATATTAAACATATTTGATTTAGATTCCTTAAATTTAAAACTTATAAAATAATGTATGTGCATAATAATAATTTTTATATTAATTTTCATTGATAACTTTTAATTCAAAATGACGATAAAAAATCAATATAGAAAAAATATTTCCCTTTTTGAAAACTTAACAAATAAAAATATTTTAAAAGGTGCAAGAAAACTAAAAACTAAAAAAGACAAAACAAAATATTGAACACTAACTTCAATATAACAATATATATATATATAGTTATATATATTTTATACATAATGAAAAAAAAATTAAATAAATCCTATTAAATTTTGCACATATGAAAAATACTAAGAAATATTGTAAATGAAAAAATAATCTTTAATAAATAAAATAAAATTTTTCGAATGTAAATTATAAAAGAAAGAAAATATATGTAAAATAGGAAATATTATATTATAACTGTGCTACGTATATGAGAAAGTGTTTTCAAGTATACATTTATTAGCTTCCCATATTATTATAGCATAAAAATTATGAAATAATTATAACAGTGTTGACAAATTAAAAAAAAAAATTATAATCATTTAACGTATTTTGTAGCAAATGTTGCAGTTAATTTAACGGATATATATTTAATGTTACTATTGCGTGAATACGAAGTAGCACCCACCATATTACTATACAGCTTGTTCTGGAAAGTTTTAATTGTGCACCATAATTGTATAATTGTTCAAGTCATAATTATACACCATATGTCCATAAAACTTTTATATAAGCACTATGTTATATATAGCCAATTTAGACCCACTACCTAGGAGCGTATAGTTTTTTCTATATTATAATTTTCTCTCTAACTCTATTTTTTTCTCTTTGACATATTCTCTCCACCTTAGCTTGACATCATTCCTAAGTATTTTGACTTCATTCTACTACACATATTTGTTATTTTGTGAACTTGTTCAATTGTTGCATACTTCGTGCAAAAACCAAACTGGTGGTTTTGGATTATATCTTAATTTTCTATTACTTATCAGCATCAGCCTTGTTAACAATAATTTTTCAAAAAGCTTTGATATTATTGGTAGTAAAGAGACCGGCCTACATGACTTTGTCTCCAAGTATTGAGAACATAAACATCCTTTATGTTTATTGCTGCATTCATCAATTTTTTCAAAAATTTCAATGCCCTTCTGGGAAATTCTCTTTTTATGTAAGCGGTAATGAGATCAAAACCTAAGGCCTTTTTCATAAATATTCGTTTAACCAATAAATTTCATATTTATATTATTTCAAATTTTTTTAAATAATATTGATAATATCAATAACATCAACAAATATCGTTCATATATTTTAAACGTAATATTTCTGGTTTTACAAAAAATTTATTGTATAATAACAAGGTATTATATTATATTGCTTTCAATACAGCAACGAAAATTTGTTTACTTCATTAAATTACATATTACAAAAATGGATTTATTTATATTTGTGCAATTCTACTATACTCAAAACAAAACAAAGAAAAAATCTACAAATTTAACTTGTGATATTAACAAAAATATATAATATATTACCTATTGCTCTTTATTGTGAATGGCATATAAAGGAAATTATTGTGAATAGAGGTTCAAATTGATTTTATCGAATATATAAATTTATTTAAATTATTTATATGTAATGATGACATTAAACGTGAATCAAAATTTAATATGTGTAATATAAATATAACAATAAATAATTGGATAAATTTATTATAAATTATATTTTATTTTTATTCTATAACCATGTTCTGTTATAAATGACTTAAAATTTGTAATTTTAAATTAGAATTTATAACGAAATCAATGATTTGAAAAAAATCACATTTTTAGTACTGTCCCATATAAGTACATACTTGTGCGTTTATCTTAGATAATTAAATATTATACACCATTAAAATAATAAAAGTAAAAAATGAATTTATCTCATTGAAAAATAATAGTAGAACCGAAAAAAAATAATGGAATATGAAAATAATATATAATAAACGAAATAATCTGTTGTAATATTCGATGAATAAATTAATTTTGACATATTTTTCTGTTCCGTTTTCATTTTCAAACTGTGTAGTAACAAATTCGGAGTAGTTTGATTGTTGCATTACTTGAAACTAAACGTAAGCAACGAAATTATAGAAAATGACATTCGTACGTATGATAAGATAACGCTACGTAGACTAAATTTATCAAATTATTATATTTATTCTTATTATGTAGGTAAATGAACAACAAATAATGTAGAGGTGTATTACAATATTTTAACGGAATGTATAATAAATATTAAAACGGAAATTTGATTTATTGTTATTGAATAATTAAGTGACAATGTTAATATATAATATTACTTAATTTATTTGCAAAAATTTAGTAAACAAATAATAAACAAAAATTATAATACTTAACTTTACAAGCGAAATATTGCTGAATATAAAATAAAGTTAAAAACACATATAATCATGGAAAACTGCTATAAGAGAACTTGTGTAATATTTTATTATTTAAACAATGTGACAACACTATTAAAATGAGTGTTCTAATAAAATATAAAACGGTAAAAATCATAAACCCATAATTATTTCAAAACATACATATTAATTTTAGTGATCAGACGAAAGCAAGAAAAACTTTCAAAATGGTAAGTTCAATATATTTCATTTAGTATATAATAATTCATATTTAATTTTAATTTTCAAAAAGTAGAAGACATCCGAGGTAACATCGCAACTCGATTAATGTTGGGCTATAATTTTTTAATAACTTCATAAATTCGTATAAAATTCCAATCTAAATTGATTCTAAAAAGAAAAATCACATTTTCCAAACAAAATAAAAAGCAATTATTGTCTATTACAAATGTCAAATTATTAATGCTTTTACAGCACCAATTATTGCCCTACAAAATATATGGTTTTGGTTAATAAATGATTAACTAAAAGTATCATGACCTTTATATAAAAACGAACGCATTGCGAAACATCTCGTCAAATTTCAACTTTAAAAAGAGTCTTCAAAAATTCATAATTGCATTTCTTAAATCTAAAATATATTTTTTTTTTCGAAAATAATTTAAAATTTTTATTATTTTGATTAACAAATATTTAGAATGAAGAAGACTCACACAGTCTTGCTAATATTAATATGAACACTACATCACTAACATATAGCGTACCTGGTTTGGACATAGGAAGTGGAAATATAATTTATACATCAATTAGTCAGTTTTTATCAACGATTACACCATATGATTTGCCACTTAGTAAGTTCCAAAGAAGATTATATTTATATTATTATGTTTATAAAAGAAAAATTTCATAATCTTAATTTTAAATTAATTCTAATATATAGATTTGGTTAGAGACGCTTTGCATTCAAACCTTACTTTAATAGATTTTGCTGCTAAGGTAATTTTAAATTTTTTTTTTTTCATTTTTGAAAATATTAAATTGTGATCTTATTTAAATTTTTAAGTCATTACAAATTGAATCAGGTTTTATTGTCATAATGACATTATTAGTTATAATGGCATTTATACCATTTTGTTCAACAATTGCATGGTGCTGTAAAAAACGTTCTGAAGATCAACTTTATAATACTGAAGAACCAATAAATCCATTAATGTTAATAGATGATACATTAGAAAATTCAATACACTGCCAACGTAGGGCATCAATTTTCATTATATTTTTATTATTTTTAATTTTAATGTAAGTATATGTATATACATATATTGTATTTAATTTTAAAATTTTGTAAAATAATTAAATTAAAAATATATGTATACAAATTGTTTTAGAACTTGTGATATTGCTCTATTTATGACAAATAGTCAACTATCAAAAACAATTGATATGGCACCAGAAGTAATAGAAGCATCAATTTATGACACAACAGTATTTTTAAAGAATACTCACACTCAAATAAAATATCAATTAGATAATGGTTTAGATATTGCCATAGAGAATATTACAAAAGATTTACATGGTAAGAATCAGTTTATTAAATTTTACTACATGACACGAGGTGTCAATTTAACGACATGAAAAAAGTAACACATGCAAAAAATTATTGTTTTCATGTTTTCCAGTATTGTCCTTGAAATTATCAATTCCTATTTTGTACTCGTATTAGTTTTACCCAAGAGCATTTTTTATTTTTCTCAATAATTCTACTGAGTTAAATGACGACTTTATTGTCAAACTCACATTTATTTATAATTTTACTTAACATTAAATATCAGAGCAAAATGTCAGCTTTTGAACCTGAAGTAAAATTATTAAGTGAATGTATCAGTAATTTTATCCAGCTAAAAATCAGGTTTTTGATGATATTTTTTTTTTAATTTTTTAATTTTTAATTTATAACCATATAGATATTGACGTACTACTCGGAGAACCAATTAAATATGAAGTAATTGCACATACAGGAATTGAATTGGCTTTTGATAGTTTGCAAAGTATTAGTATGGGTAAGAATATATTCAGATATGTACATGCATATCCATTTATTATATCAAAATACACTCGGATATAAATAAAACAAATTTCATGCGAACATTCATACAAACTCATAAATTTAATCCTCATTATTTTGTTTTTGTTTTTATCTTTTTTAACTTTACCTATATGAATAACAAAAGCAAATACAGAACTGATAACAAGAATTCAATTACTACAAGATTCAATTGGTAAAGCACTAAAAATATCTCAAGAGGCTGCTGCTCGTATGGAAGAATTACAAATTCAATTATCCGTTTTACAAAGACAATGTACATTTCGAGATCGACCACTTTGTGATACATTAAGGATACGAAGTTTTGAAGAAAATGGAATTATTGATGCATTAAAATCAGTAAATATATAATATCATATATTTTAATCAAATTATTTTCTATGTAGTATAAGAGTGTAAATACATTTATTTAAGGAAAAACATTATTAAATTTTAATGAATTCAAATTTAAACAATGTCAAAATATTGATTACTACAGTACAAGAGCTAGTTGTTAATATTCAAAATTAATGTCAACACTTTTAGATCAATACTTTGAGGTCTTTTGCAATATTTAATCAAAATATATTAAAATTAATAATTAGAGAATTAATCTATGAATACAATATAAAATTTGTACATTATTTAAAGAAATAAAATAATGAGAAAATTTAAATATTTAATATAAATTTTAATTTTTACATTTAGTTACAAGAAGATCAAAATATTTTCCGTATGAAATATTTAGGAGAGTTAGAATCTGGTACTCAAGTACAAAATTTATCAAATGAAGTGGCAATATCTAGATCAATATTTGGAAATTATCCTGAACAATTAAAGCGTGATACAGCAATACAACGAAATGGTAAACTTATTATTTTCAAACCATTTTTAGTTTTAATATTTAAAGTATATGAAATTTTTGTCATAATATATACAGAAACACTCGATCAATTAAAAAATATAAAGTATAAAACAACAGCAAATGCTCATCTTTTAACACGTACTATCGTATCATTATTGGATGAACTGACCGGTACCTGGGAATCAATTGAACCACATTATAAAGATTTACAATCATGGGAAGATAAATTTTGGAAAATGACATGGGCAATTGCATTATTAATTGTATGGATTTTAGTATTTATGAGTTTAACATTTTGCTGCTTTTTATGTGAATCACGTGTTAAAGCAGCTGTTATAATGGTTACTTGCGTTATTATAATATGTGTTGGCAGTTTTCTATTAATGATATTTGGTGTAATAACAATGGCCGTTGGTGGTAACACAGAAATATTTTTATGTCAACCATTATTTGATGAAAGAAATGAATATGAATTTTTGGGTAAATTATTTGATAAACCTGGTTATGTATATGAAACTGAAAAGAAACATGGCATAATAGCTGATCTTTTGAAACCAAAAGAAAATAATAAAACATTTGTTAACGTTAAATTAACAACAGCAATAATGTTAGTAAAATAATTGTAGATACATTCATACTTTAAAATTGTGTTACTTATATATTATTCATTTTTAGGGAATGCGAACAAAATAAGCCCTCTTTTAAAGTATTTCAATTGGATGCATTTGTTGATACGGATACAAGTCCAAAAGTAACAAAACAATATGAAAGTGTAAATAATGCAGTTAATAATATACGTGTTTCTGAGAAAACATTGTTGACTTTAACACATTCAATACAAAAGATACTTGAAAGTATGTTACAAACATCTGATTTGAATTCAACAACATATCGTGCTAATATTGCCCAACCAACACCGGAGAAAGATTTAGCAACATTTATTGATCAAATGCAAAGAGTTGCATTACAGGTATAGCCGTTACTTTCAAGCTTATATTTTTTTAATACTTATTGATAAATTTTCACTGAAAAAATATACAATATTGAAAGTTTGTGATTCTTTTCTTTTTTAGATACAAGATGTCGCCACTTCAGCTCGTATGACAACTCTCGGTAGTCGTGCAAAACGTTTGCAAGCTTCAATACTACAACCGTTGGAATTATTACGTAATGAAATTTTGTATCATTTAACGGCATTAGAATTACAGAGAGATCCATGGCAAAAGCAAGTTAACCAAACTTTAATACATTTGAGAAATATTCAGGGATATTTAGAAGCAACAGCAGCTGAAATATGTCAGAATCAAACTAACATTTATAGAAAACGGTTCGTTTATTTTTTGTTTCAAATATTCATCATAAAATTCGAATCAATAATCCTCCTTTTAAGTTTTTTTTATTATTTTTTATTACTTTTTTTATAACATAAACAAATAGTCCAAATTTTACTATTTTTCTTTATATACCCGCAATAAATTTTAATTTCATCTTATTTTTTGAAAAGACTTCGAATTTTATAATGATCTCAAAAATATATATTGTATGTACTTATAATTATGGTTATAACTATTTGGCAGACTGAAGTCATATCTGGCATTAGACAAAGGAGCGGTTTCATATAGTTCATTAGGAGAGAAAACAGCAATGTGCCGTCCACTTTTTGATATTTTCGATGCTAATCGAAATTTTCTATGTCGAAATATTGTCGATTCAATTAACGGAATTTGGTTTTGTGCATTTTTATCTTTGTTTTGTTGGGCAATTGGTACACCATTAGCATTGAATATAATTTCATTACATTATAGATTAATAGCCATCAATCAAGTGAAAGGATCAAATGCACATTTGTAATTTTTAATCTCTATTTAACGTAGTTATTTGTTCAAATTGTATTGCTAAAATATAATATATTAGGCGAAGACTAAAAATATTTTCGGGAAATTTACAAAACAGAAAATTTAAGCTGGAAGTTTACTGCTAAAATATTTTGTATTTTTTATTTCTTGTTTAATGCTTCTCATCTTCAAAACAAAACTTTCGTATGACATTTATTATGTAAATCTCAATTCATTAAATCGATTTGGTTCGATTCCATTAAGTGCTGTATTATAATAAATATTTTCGTATATTAAACTACTAATATACAAATAACCTTTTACCATATCCCATTATAGAGATGGAAATCGTAACGTTACATGGAGATCTGGTGATGCTAATAGGTAAAATTTTATTTTGAAATGTATATGTTAATAAAACTAACTCAAAAAATATTTTAGCTCACCTAGACCATCACCAAGAACACCAAGAACACCAAGAACTCCCAGAGCTAGCTCACAGCAGCAAGAAAGAACTCGTCCTAAAGCAAAACGACCGATCCGACAAGATACCGTAGAATCTGCTGGAAGTCTTCGTGACCAAGACGAAGAATACGATGAAAATCAACCTGACTCTGATGACATTGAACCGCCAATGCCAAGTCAAATGCGTACATCACGTGAATTAAACCGAGGAAGATCACGTGATTTAAATCGAGAAAGATCACGTGAAATAAGCCGAGACAGGTCGCGCGAAATGAGTCGAGAAAGATCACGTGATTTAAGCCGGGGTCGATCTGCAGAAAGAGGTGGAGATGGAGGTACAACACCCCAAGATCAAGCACCAAAAAGGACTTTCCAAGATATCAGAAGAGAAATGGAAATGGAGCGATCAGGAAGATCAACTCCAAGATATCAAGATCAATCGCAAACGCAAGATACTATTTCTCGAAGAACTTTCCAAGATATGCGGAGAGACACAGATATGGAGCGATCTGGAAGATCAACACCAAGATTCCAAGATCAACAGCAGTCACAGCCACAAGAACCAAGTACTAAAAGAACTTTTCAAGATCTTAGAAGAGAAATGGGTATTGAACAACCAGGAAGATCTAGCCCAGAAAGCGACGAACCCACACAACCACAACAAACCGCTCCTAGAAGAACTTTCCAAGATGTTAGAAGAGAAATGGACGTGGGACAATCTGGCAGATCAACACCAAGAATTGAGGAGCCAACGCAATCTCAACAGACCATTCCTCGAAGGACGTTTCAAGATATCAGAAGAGAAATGGACATGGAACAATCGGGAAGATCAACACCAAGATTTCCAGATCAACAGCAATCGCAACAACAGGAAACCATTCCTAAAAGAACTTTTCAGGATATTAGAAGAGAAATGGGCGTTGAACATTCAGGAAGATCATCCCCAGGAATCGGAGAATCAACGCAATCACAACAAAGTATCCCCAGAAGAACATTCCAGGACATTAGAAAGGAAATGGGAATTGCACAATCAGGAAGAGGATCGCCAGAAATCGAAGAAACATCGCAACCGTCACAAAGCATTTCGAGAAGAACATTTCAAGATATTAGGAAAGAAATGGGAATTCAGCCATCTGATAAATCAACGCTTCGAGTTCCAGACGCAGGAGGAAGGAAAACATTTCTGGAAATTAGAAGAGAAATGCAAATGGATCAAAGTTCTAATGAGACTATTAATCGACCTCGACCATTTCGTGATGTAAAACGTGAAATGAGCTCAACTGATCAAATGAATGAATCAACTTCTAAGCGGACATATCGCGATATAAAAAAAGAAATTTCATCTGAAACACAAAGGCAACATCAACGTCCATATCAACAACAGCCACAATATCAACAACGGGAGCAAAGTATGAATAAACAAAATACTAGCGAAACCGGTCAAACTCCCCGACTTACATACAGAGAATTAAGGCATCAATTGGTTGCTGAATCTGTGCAACCTATAAATCTACCATCAACTGATGAAAATAATAATACAACTGGACGTCGTACATACCGTGAATTAAGACATGAAATGGAATCTGATGCAGGTATTGGCCAGAATCGAACCTACCGTGATTTTAGAAGAGATGAAATGGATCGTGAACAAAATAATAATGAACCATTACGAACAAATAGAAATTTTAAAAAAGATTATTCAAGAGATTATAGAGAAAGAGATGTAGATAGAAATCGAAATAAAGAATATCGCGCAAAAAGATTACCACCGCCACCACCTGCACCGCCACCACCAATTCCAGCTTCAGATTCTCATTATATGAACATAAACAGGTTTTTATTTTGCTTACCTAATATCAGTTTTTGTTTTTGTTATTTCTAAATTATAATTTTTTTCTCCAATACTAATTTAAAATTTTATAATTATTTTATTAATGTAATAAATTGTTTTTTTTTTTTTTAATTTCCTAATCTTTATATTTCCTATTTTGTTTATATTTTTTGTAACCAAATCTACTTACCTACCAAAGTTCAAATAAAAGAAATACTCCTAATCCAGCCGAAAACGAAGATGATTCTGACATCGAATTGGATGAAATGAACATAATATAAATCGAAAAATAATTAATCCGGTTATTATGAAAAATTAAAACTAATTTAAATATCTCGAATTGCAATTTTAACACCCAAAATTAAAACAATTTTTGATACCACAATAAATATTGAAATGAATCAAAAAAATAAAATAAAAAACTTAACAAAATTTAATGAAAATGATAAAATAATCAAAATTAGAGAAAAATGTAAGAATTTTGAGAACTTTCAGCTTTAAATTTTATTTGTAATTTGGCATTAATCGTATTTCACTTTCTCGTAAATTTTTATTTCATTTTTACATTTGCAGATGACATAGAAATTTTATTCTATAATAAACAATAAGAATATTTCAAAAATTTTTCGAAAATAACTGAAACGAAACACACCGCAACATTAGAATTAAATTAGATTTTTGTAGTCACATTCAGAAGATTGACTATCTTGCATTTAAAATATTAATATTATTATTTCGCTATATATAATAACAACATTAAGCATATACCAACATACATGTATAATTAAAATAACTAAAACGAAATCTAAAAATATCATTATTAATATTTTTTCGAACCTACAAACATTTCAATATTATCTTTTAATTGGTTTTTTTATATATTTATTCTTTGCAGAACAAGATCTGATACTATGTATACAAATCGTTTAAATAGTTGGGGTCTTCAGTAAGTTTCCAATAAATTTTAAAATTAATTAAGCATTTATTTCATATATTATACATACTTGATTTTTATAGAGATCAAAGACCCCCAGTTCCGCCAGTACCTCCACCGGTTCCTTATATGAATAGGTAATACGCAAATTCCTTATATTATGTAAATACATACATATGTAAAATAATATGTGTGAATAGGTACATTATGTACAACAACGTTCTTATAAATATTTTCTTTTTAGGCAGGACAGTGTTCGAAGTGTCCGATGGGAAACTACCGAAAATATGTCTTTTGAAGAAGTAGATGCTGGAAATCCAATTATAATGGTCGAAAATAATTTAGTTTAATAATAAAAATAAATAACATTGATTTACATGAAATTTAATTTAATCACTTATCATAATTATTTCGCGACACTTATATTTATATATTGTGTGTTATAAGAGACATATAGTTTAAAATTAATTTAAGTCAAAACATTTGCTTTAAGAAAAAAAATATACCTACATAAATATATCACATATGTATATATGTTTGTATCTGTATATGAGAAGCCCCATTATTTGCCACATAGATCATTCACTTTATTTTATTTAATAATAAATTGAAGGCGCTTCAATGCGAATTTATTTTAATTAATTAACAATAAACCAAAAAAAACTGTTTCAATCCTAAAAAAGAAATTGGGGTACAATATTGATTATACATTAATTATTCATTAAATATAAAAATTTAAAAATAGGTTTTTTCTCAATAACGAAAATAATTTAAGGTAAGTGTCCCTATTACTGACATATTTCGCAACAAATTCAACTTTGGCGTGAGATATTTTATATGTGGGACACAATAAATGATCGTATTTTCGATTTTTTGAATAATTTGGATAATTGGGAATAATGTTTTTTATAAAATTATTTAATCAAAATATTTTTTAATTCATAATTTTTCGATTAAAGACGAAGAGAAAAAATGTTCCTAATATTGACATAACCGCAAATGTTTGCGTCTATTACTGACAGTTTGTGTACCTAATACTGACAATGTAATTTTATATGCTGTAATCCATATTCTATATATGAATAATGGTTTAAAATGGTTAAAATGATAATATTCAATAAAAATGGAATAATAATTTGGATTTCTACGGATATTTCATTTTATTTAAAAAAAAAATTAAAAATTAATCATATTATAATTCAAACAAAAATAAAAAAAATATTTTTTATTGAATTAAAGGTAAAAATATGTGAAATTCAGCTGATTTGAATTTATTATTACTGTAGAATGTACTTTTGCTAGTAGTCTTAATATGCAACAATGAATAAATAAAAATTTTTAAAAGATATTTATGAAAATCTAATTCGAAATTATATAATTTTTTATAAAGTATTATAAGTAATATTTGCTACAGATGTATTCTTATAAATAATACCTAAAATATGATGTACCGATCACACGAAATTATAAGAAATCATATCAATATATTCTAAAGCTGCTAATAAGCCTATTCTAAAGCTGCTTTTTGCTTTAACAAAGACTATTTATGTATTAAGTACGTAACGAGAGCAACCCATTCTTAATTTTTGGAACAACATTTCGGGTTATTAAAAAGGACTCCTTTTCTTATTTAAAAAGAACCATTTCCGTTGTGATATTTGTTATGACGTTAACGTTTACAGTAATTTCAAAGCATTTTTTTAGAAAGCGAATTGTACTGTTTTATTGACAGTATTGTATACAATATTGACACACAATTTGTTAGACGAATATCACTATTAAAAAGGTAAAAAGGTCGCAGTCAGATATAAGTTTTCACAAATGTAATCGATTTTCATTCGACAGAAATAGTTTAAACAATTTTAAAGTATAAAGAAATTATGTTTATTAATTAAAATGAATATCAAAATTAAAACTTTATACTGACATAATTTTGTACATAATATTGACCCTCTTTAGATCGTATTACCGACACCCGTTTTTAAAGCTAAAATACTCCGAACCTGTAGTAAATTCTTAGTGTCAGAATTCGGACATTAGAAAGAAAATTCAAATTCGATTTTAATTAAATAAATACGAAAATAAAAATTTAAATGTTCTAAAAATGACGACATTTGTAAAAATACGGATTTTTGACGTATTACTGACACATATGTCAGTAATAGAAGCAGGGTCGAATTTTAGATGTTCCTAATACTGATAGGAATTATTTTTTAAAATTCTTATTTATTTAACGTTTTTACTCCGAATAACTTAGAAAATAAGATAAAGAATAATCAAAATATTTAATTTAATATAAATACATATATTTTTAACCGTCAAATAAGTCAAAAAACAATAAAAACAAAATCGGAAAAATTAAGCAAAAAGTATAAGAAATTCTCCAATGCAACCCACTTTTGCTATGTCTATGGAAACAAAACTGATTTATGTTCAATATTTTGGAGTTATTTCAAAACTAAATAAAAGGAAGGATTGCGATAATTTGAATTAATCTAGAAATAAAAAAATATATATATGTTGTATAGAGAAAATCTCTTAATAATTATAAAAAACCTCATGTATGTCAGTATTACCGCCACTGTCAGTATTAGCTACACTTACCTTATTATGAAATTAATATTTTTCTTAAAATTTTTAAATTTATGATTTTTTATAATTAAGCAAATCAATTAATTAACATATACATATACCTATGTGTGTATAAATATAAATGTAATATAGATTTAATAAAGTTTTTTTTGGATTATTATTTTCTGTAATCAATAACCCTTTCTAGAATTCAATAAATATAAACCTTTTTATTAATATTGTACTTTCTATTTTAAATACAAAAAAAAATCTTAAAAGAAATTTAAATAGACCGTTCCTCTATACGAATTTTTTGATAACTGACAGACGATTTCTGTGTGATTCCTTTGATGACTGAATATCTACATCAAGGACAAAAATAAAAAATATTTTAGGAGATATTTAAAAAAAATATTTTTAAAAACTTTGAGCATGTTTTCTGAATAAACTAATAGAATCTCCTTGAAGTGTTTGAGAAAATTGTACATTATATAACACTGATCTAACTCAAAATTTGAATTCGAGAAAATTGTAGTGTAAAATTTTTCTCCTAATAGCATTATTTTATAAGTTATATTGTAAGCGAAAATTTGCAAGCTAGTGAACTGGGGCCCTACTATGTAATTCGATTTTCGTGTAAGCAATAACAGTTAATCATTTAAAAAGCCGTTAACGTATTTTTGTTGTATAGATTTGACATTTGTTAAGCGTACATTTGTATCAAAATATAAAGCCATCTATCGGATTAAATGTCTCTAAATATTACTTTCTACTCCATTACTTTGGTTTTATATCGTACGTTTAGAACACTGTTTTAAAGTTTTATTGTTTACACAAAGTGAAACGCCAACAATTTTTCAAGCGAACTACAGTTTGTTGAACGGCTAAACTTCTTTTTGTATTTAATCAAATTCAAAGAGAAAAAAATCGTGTCTAATAGAGTGAACACTAAATAACCCTATACTTTGTTTTATCTTATATGTAGATATTTCTATGGTTATTTTATTTTTTAGAATGTATTAGTTTGACAGCTCAGTTATGAAAATCGATTTATACTAAAATCGAAATATCCAATTCGTAAATTATAAATTAAGTTTATGTTAGTTGAATTTTCTATTAAATAATTTTGCAACGTATAATAATCCAAATTCCATAAATTACTATTTTTAAATTTACTTTACAAATTAAATATTTGGATTTAGTACACATGTCGATTTCCTTAAACTTAGCTCGTTTTATTTTCTTTATCTGCACTTATCAACAAAACCCTGAGAAATAAAATTTTACACGCACTCTAGCGTTAATCGCTGAAACATATTTTTGGCAACCTATTGGCAGCAAATGAATAAAAGGATGAAAAATTTATTCATTTGTTATTAAAATTTTAGTAAAAAGAAAATAATAAAATAATAAAAATTTTATAAAAGTACTTACTCGCAAAAATTAAAATAAATGCATTTTAAATTCATCCATTCCACATACCTTCAATGTTTACAAAATATTGAACAATAATAGAAAACAGCTGATTCTGAAAATGTCATAATAATAGGGGAGAACTATTTTAACAAAAAAATAGAAATTACAAAAATGTTATTCAAATAAAATCTAAAAGAAATTAAAAAAAAATACCGTTAAAACTTGAAAGAATTTTAAAATGAAGTTATCCAAATATATTGAAACATTGATTATAAGAGCTAAACGAAATGACAAACATTTTTATACTTATATAACATTAGTAATAATTCGAATTCTCTTAATTTTTGTTCCTCAAACTGGATATATTCATCCCGATGAGTTTTTTCAATCTGTCGAAATAATGACTGGTAGGTGCCTACTTAATTTAAAAAAAAAATTCTAATTTTTTACAATTTTTAAATATTCTCTAACAATTTTAGGTGAACAGTTTGAAATTGAGCACACAAGAACATGGGAATTCAATAATACATTTCCAATAAGAAGTATGGTGGTTCCATATTTTTTATTAAAAGTACCATTAAATTTTATAGATTTCTTATCTACTTATTCAAAATATTATTTGGAAATTGATTTAAGGAGTAGCTATATGATTTTGATTTTCCCCAGAATGATAATGTGCGCAATATCATTCGTCAACGACTATAGCATTTACAAAATTTGTGAAGCGTATAGTTTACGATATGAAATAAGATTATTGGCTTTAGGTAGTTCTTTTATTATGCTTACATTTGCTACAAGAACTTTTTCAAATACAATAGAAATGGCGATATGTTCTTTGATAACTTATTATGTAGCTGATTGTATGATACATTCGAATACTGTTATATACAAGAAAGAATTCCTACAAGACCGGTATAAAAAAGCAGAATCCATTAGTGAAAAAGTTAAAATATGGAAACTTAAGAGAACATTACCAGCACATAATTATAATAAATATTTTTCTTTATCTATTTTATGTGTAATTGGTGTATTCAACCGTCCAACATTTTTAGTATTCGGAGCGCCAATGGTATTTTTTTGGTTACTTCGAGGAATGGGAACCAAAACAGTTAACTTTTTTGATTTTAATATTAGAATGTTATTATTTGTCATCAGTTCAATACCGACCATATGCTTTTGCATCCTTGTTGATTCTTTATATTATAGGTAATTATTTTATAATTAAAATTTATCTCCTTAATTATTTAATGTTTCTCATTTAAGATATCTTACAACTGGAGAAATTCATATGCTACAAATTACAATAAATAACTTCGTTGTAACACCATTAAATTTTCTCAAATATAATCTTGACCCAGAGAAAACAGCAGAACATGGTATTCATCCAAAATATTTACATTTATTAGTTAACATACCAATGTTGTATAATATTCTTGGAATAATAGCTATATCTTCATTTATACATTTAATTTATTCATTTTTACGTGGTATGTATCAGGATCTACCAAGATCTCAATCTATAGTTGGATTAATGACTGCTGCAATTTTTACTCCAGTTATGGCTTTATCGTTAATAAATCATCAAGAGCCAAGATTTTTAATACCAATTACATTACCAATATTGCTTTTACATTCACCAAAATTAGTAACTGGATTTTGTCAAACGTATCCATTCAAAAATCAAAATAAGATTTTGTACTACATTTTTAATAATTTTTTAAGTACGAGGGCAAGCGCGAAATTTATTTTAAATATATGGTACATTACAAACATATTTCTCACAATATTTTTTGGATTCATTCATCAAGGTGGCGTTTATCAACTTGCTCGATATTTTTCGAATTCAATGCACGCCAAACCAAGCACAATGAATATACATTTAATTACAAGTAATATATATATGATGCCACTATCAATTGTTAATATTCCTAGTTCACATCTTCTCCTAACAAATTCTGAAACTGGAAAAAAATATCGCCGTAGCAAAGACTTTTATTTATACGAATACGGAAGTTTGGAAATTGATAAATTATTGAAAAAAATCAAAATAATTTTAGATGTAAATGAAATGAAATTTATTAACAAAAAAAAGATTTATCGTATGTATTTGGCAGTACCTACAAGTTTAGCCGAAGACTTAAATATTGGATTTCAGAAATTTCCTGATATAAAATATGAACAAGTTAAAGTTTTTTATCCACATTTATCAACTGAAGCATTACCAAAAATTTTTGGCCGACATCCTTGTGATTTACATGTTGATTTTGATAATTTACAAGGAACTTGCGATATTGAAAATAAAAATTATTTTTCATTTTCTTATATATTAAAACAATTTTCATCAATTGTACATCAATTTGGCTTAGCTTTATATAGAATCGAAATTGTTACAAATTCAAAAGCATCAACATTACCCCAACAATAAAAGCAACAATTTAATTAAAGATATTATAAATAATTAATTAATAGATTTTAATTACAAATTTTTAATTCACTTTTTATAATTAAATGCCATTAAATACCATTCTAGTCTAATAAATTATTTTACACGCTTTAAGTATTATTAATTTTCCTAAGATTTTTATATTAATTTTGTTTTTTTTTTAGCGATGTAAGAAAACATTCCTTACAAATTTCTATTAATATTGTGATTTAATTCATGGTTGATTACGTACCTACAAAATTTGTAATATATATTTAATAAAAAAGTTAAATTTATTGTATAAAATCTTTTTTAATTATTTTGTCCAACACCCACATCTAATCCCTTGTATATAGAGAATCAGATTTTTATTATAAATCTCAGAGATATTGTTTTTAAAAAAATAAAGAAAAGTCTAATTTGAAATAATTATTAAAATTAATTAAGAATTATTTGATTTTAATGAATTTAAATATTCAAATTCAATAAAAATAAATAATATGAAGAACTATAGTCATAATTAAAAATTTAAAATTGAATTTACATTGTGAAAAATGTAAAGTAAGAAATATTTTCAATTTTTTCTAAGAAATATGTAAAAAATGTATGTAGGTAAACGGGGGTGTTTTATCAAATGAAGGTTAATTAATTTTAGGAAACTCGACGGCAGGAACAGTTTTAGAATGACCCTCATAAATAATCAACAGATAATTTAATAACTTATATAGCATTTAATTTTAATTAATTAAAATAAATTAACAAGTTTAATTTTTTCAATTTTTGATGAATATCTATTTTTTTTGTTTTTAAATTTTTATTGATAAATTGAATACCTGTTACATAGGTTTTTTTTTTATAATAATGTTGTATATACAAATACAATTTTTTCCATTTAAAATCAATTTATTGTTTTACTTTTTTTTTTATTCTTTTTTTAATATAATATTATTTTTCTTTTTTAGGATGGCTTATTTTTTTTTTCTTTAAATATTTTTTTTTTACAAATTTTTATTCATTTAAAATTATAAAAGAAAATTAACAATTTTAATTATTTATGTGTATGTATGAATGAATGTATTTCGTAGTTTTTTTGTTTTATATATTTTTGTTTTTTTCTTATTTCTTTATTTTTATTTTATAATATTAAAATCGTTTCCTAATCCTTTTTTCTAAATTATGTATTTATAGTTTCTTCAATTTATGTGGTCAAAGATTATTATTTTTCTTTGATTATATTTAATTTTTTTCTTTTTATATAATTAAATCTAAATTTTTAAAATCTAATAGATATTTTTATTAAAAGTTAAACTTAAATACATACCCTTTCATTTCAAATTTTCTCCATTTTGATGAAACTATATTATGTATTTTGCATCACTCTGTATTTTTGCATCTTTATGGTTTAGAGATACAAGTATTTATCTAAAATTTAATGCTTAATTTACTTTAATTTTTTTTTTTTTTTGTTTTTCTGCCATTAACTTTAAAGAAAGAAAAATCTTTGTTAAAACAAAAATTTTTGTTACAAAATATATAAATATACATAACGGTACGCATATAACGGTATAATATAGTTGGAGTATATTTATTAATACGCCAATTCCCAAATATTTAATCTTCATTAATATTATGATTAAGAATGGGATTTGTGAATTTGGGTAGTCTACATAAATCAATTCTATTATAATTTCAACAAAGATTTATTGAGGGTTCTTGAAATTACATTTTGTAGAAGCGTTAAATGTTAGTTATATAAATAAACCAATCTAACTGCAAAATATTCATAAATATTATGCCATTACTTTTTAAAAAACTAGTATTTTGTGAGTCGTATTGCTTGAGATAATTAAATATTATTGAAAAATATTATGGTTTCTATTGTAAAATTCTAATTTCTAATATTGATTTTATACAGAAAATTACAAAAGCTTTTAATTAACAATTCTCATGTCACAATTTACGGAATACGCATGAATATCTACAAAACTAACATTTAATTTTGTTTAAATATAAAGAGTATAGTTACATAATATATTTACGGAAACTTTCAAAAATATTGTTTTATTTGGGCTATTTTGTGAATATTTTTGAAACATGTTCTATTTTTTAACAAATTGTGTACGAAAACCATTTTCATTTCTCAGCAAATTTATGAATTTTGTTCTTGTTAATTTAAGAATTTTATTTCTGAAATAAAAAAGATCCGTATAAAAAGGATCTCTAAGATTAATAAATCCGTATACATGCTATAACTTGATTTTTTTCAAATCGAAATTTTTTTCTACCCGTCTTTTACTTAATTTGTTTTTGATACTTTTGAAATCAGGTCATGAAAATTATGAAAGGCAATTTCCTACTCATATTATTTTCCAAATAAATTTATATTATATACTCTAACTGTAACGCACACATAATATACCTTTATTATATTTAAATATATACCGAAAATATTAGTTGTACTTATATACAACATAAACGTTAAAAATAAAAAATTAGTAATATTCACAATCCAGTAGTATACAGAATTAAGTAATTTTAGTAAATAGGTAATTTAATAATAAAACAATAATTTGAAACAAATTCCTTTAAGTAACTAAATATGTAGATTTAATTGAATTTAAGAAATTCAATTGTTTAGTTAAAATTCAAAAATGTTATTATTAGGTTACAAATTATTAAAAAAAAATTAAATAAATTAGAATAACACTTTACAAAATGCTGAAAATCAATTTATTATTAAAATTTTAGCAAATTTAAATTTTCATGTTAATCTCATAAAAATTTATTATGAAATCGAAAAATTTTAATATTCATTTTATATTCCGGATAAATAAATTAATTTTTGGATTTTTTTAATTATGGGGAATTTTCGAAAATTTAATTCTAACTTAGATTTTAATATAAAGTATGTCCAATAAGTAGGGAAATCTTCAAATAATGCTTTATATTTGAATATTTGAAGACGTTCGATAAATCTTTACAACAGAAGAAGGATATTCGAAAATCTTAATGTTCACAAGCATTTTTAAAATAATTTTATTTTAAATGTTGCAAAAATATATTAAGTTTGAAAACAAATCTTAAAGAAAAATGTAATATATTACAAATCTGGAAAAGTAAATTTGTATAGTTATAGTCCCCGTAAATTTTGTAATGATACAAAAAAAAATTTTTGAAATTTAAGTTAGAACTTTAAGTGCATATTTGAATTATCGAAAATCTCCCATGCCTGAATATGCTCTAATTATATGAAACGAATTTATTTATAATTTTATTGAATGAATTAAAAAATTTTAAAATATTAATATTGTTAAATTAAAATTATTATAATTAAGTTACAGAAAAGTATAAGAAATAGCGCGACCGTTCTTAATGAAAATAAAAATAAATTTATTATATTAAAAAATATAAATAAAAGAAAACTAGTGTTAATAGCATTTTCTTGCATAATACAATGTCCTATTGATTTTTTATTTCTGTTCGACAATAATATATTAATTATATAATAGTATATAATTTGTCATAGAATAAAAATTTTATTTAATTTTCAATTTAATTATTCAAAAAATTTGAAGATAAGAAAGATAAAATTATTTACAAAGTATTTGACATAACATTTTTCTTTTTTTTTTTTTCTTGTTCTTTCTAGTTATTTATGAAATGTTTATATAAGTTTAATATTAATGTTTAATATTTTTTTATAAGTTTACGTTTTTCTTTTTTATTAATATAAACTGGTTAAATATTCAAATTTTGTTTATTTACTATTTTTATTTAATAATTCATTAATAAAGTTCTTTTATTTTCTTTGATGTTCTTGTGCCTTTTTTTTTGTGTTTAATCAATCTCTTATTAATCGCCGTTTAATTAAAATAAAAAAGATAAATTTTCTTTTCTTGAAATACTACATAAGTCTTTTTTTAAAATTTTCTATTATCATTCCAATAAAAAAAATCCTAATCTAGTGCCATTTTTATTTTGTTTAATAATTTGAAAAATTTTATAATTGATTTAAAACAGTTTTTATTTTTATTTTATTTTTACTAGTTTACTTTCTCTCTTAATAACAAACATATTATTTATAAGTATAAAAACACAATAACAAAAAAACACAAATATTTATCAATTAATTTTTTAAATGATTATAAAAGAAACAAATGGAGTTATGAGCAAAATTTACATTTTCTACAGAACAAGTAACCGTAAGATTAATTTAAAAAAAATATATATAATCTTTGAAAATAACAAAAAAATTACCAAAATATATTAAACTCAATTCAATTTAACTAATTATATGTAAAAAAATAAATAAGATCAATTTTCAAATCCTGATAATATACAACATTTATAAGTTCTTGATTAGTTTTGGTACCATATTTTTCTATTATATCGTACATCATCTTATCAAATCGGGAATATACTAAAAAGTGTTATCTAAAAACGTGTTTAACATTATTACTCATATTCTGTTATTCACATTACCTTGACAGATGACGGGATATTATTTAAAATTATTTTGATTTTTAGTATAAAATTTCAAAGTTCGAAATTGATTTTATTTACAAAAAATTGCTAAATATTTAAATAACAACACATCACACGTGAAGTAAATCAACTAACAAAACATGGTGTTTAGCAATTTACAAAAAAAAAAGTTATAAAAAATAAATTGCTATAGAAAATTTAAATCAATTAAATATACAAAATTTGGTCATTTCTATTTCATCTCTTAAGATAATGCTTATTGAAAGAAAAATGAGCTTCTAGGTAATATCCACTAGCTTAAAACTCAACACTGATATTATTCAAAATTTTTTTAATTTTCGAAATAAAATCTTTTTTGACATCAATATTTTTTGTTTGCCATCACCTTATGCGATGAGTCCACTAGAATATGAGTAATCACTAAACAAATATTTATTGAATAATTAAAAATAATATAAGTAACTGAAAAAATTGTTAAACTTCATATAAAAAAACACGTTTTTCAATTAAAGGATGATGGTTGGTTGTATAATATTCATAGATATATGAATATGTATTAATTAAAATAAAATAAAAAAAAATCACGAAAAAAAATAATGTTTTTTATTTTAAAGAATAAAACAATCAAACAAAACTTATTCACAATTTTTTAAGAGCAGAAAAAAATACATATAATATAATTATATAATTAAATATCTACGGTAATTATACATTATGTATAAAAATATTGAAAAAAAAAGTAGGTATATTATAATTTAATATAGGGCCTTAAATTAATTTGAATGAATAGCATATAATAATAATAATAATAATATGAATTTTTATTTTAAATTCTTTAACATTTTAAATAAATATTATTCACAAAATACAAATATAACGATATATGTTATAAATATATTTTAATTTTGATTTATTTTTTAATATGGAATTTAGATTATATTTCTTTTTCATATTTTCAAAATAATTAATTCTAGTTTTCATATATTATAATCCAATGAAAAATTTTTTGTAAAATAAAAATTGTAATTAATTTCTTTTTTTATTTTATTTTTAAACAAAAAATTACGAATTAGAACTTAACTAAAATTAAATAAGATAAATAAAAAGATGCAATAAAACCTTTTTAATTTTAAGTTATTAATTAAAATTTATGATTTTTTAATTTAAATTAATTAAATAAGTATATATATGTACATAGAAAAATGTCAAAGATAATTTTTCTAATTTTATAAATTTAATAATTTGCAATTACATTTTTAAAAAATTCAATACAAAAAAAAAAAAATATAACATGTATTTTGTGTTTTCTTTTTCTTTTTCAATTCAAAATATTGCCCTGAAAAATTTATTTCTTATAAATTATTCCTAAAAATATTGAATTTTAACATTACAGAAAATTTACAATTAAAAACAAAAAAAAAAAAACAATTTATGTGCTGATCTATTTATATTTTTTTTTTACATTTAAGCCTGATCAATTCTACAAAATTCTGGATGTTAAAACAAACCAAGCAATTTGATTTTTTTATTTTATGAGTTTTAATTATTTATTTTATATTTTTGAGATTTTTATATTTAATTTAATATATATAATCAATATTGTAATTAATATTTTCTGAATCGTTTAAATATTTTTTTTTCTTTTTGTAAAATCATATTGTATTATTTGTGATTTAATATTATTCTTATAATATGTAATAATAAAAATTCAATAAGGAAAAAAATTTACCTTAATATTGAAAACAAAAAATAAATTTATTAGTTAGTATACAATTTAATTAATATTTCATGTAATTTGTTTTTTCTTTTTTTTTTTTGTAATTGTAACTTGTTTTGATTTAGGCTGAGCTTTCATTATTGTTTTTTGCTTGAGATTTATTCGCACCAGTTATTTCTGGTAAATCCAAACTATTTGAGTTTGAGCGTATATTTTGTGTACCATATGATGAAGATGAAGATGGTGATGATAGAGGCGTTGATGATGATTGTACAGCAGAGGACATTAAACCGTTATCGTTTTCATTTTCATTGTTTTTATTTAAAATATTCACATTACCAATGTATGGCGGAGGCGGTGTACCAGTTACAGGTGATTCATCTGTTCCATCAATATCTTCAATTGTAATACTTGCATTATTATTGTTGTTATTATTGCTAGCATTATTAATATTATTATTATTATTATTATTTGTATTAGCATTTGCTGTATTTCCATCATTATTATTATTAGATGAATCATTATTATTATCAACATTAGCCGGTTCAACTTGTATATTTGACATTGCAACTTGATAAGATGGTGGTGGTTGTTGTTTCATACTTTGAGCAATAGCTTCCTCATAATCTGGTAGCAATGTTGAATAGTCTCTACCTTCGCTATTTAATCCACCAGTTGATGAAACATGCGGTATAATATATGGTAACATTGATCTAATATTATGTTGTCGTAATGTTAAGTATTTATAACAACGCCATACAATACCAATAGCGTATGCCTTTAAGAAAACGATTGTTACAAAAGCAATTAGCACAACCATTACTAAGGCATCTGGAGAAAGTTGTAATAATTTTTCACGATACGGTAATCGATGACTTTCAGCAATTAAACGATGTATTGATTGTAAATAACAGAAATAACCAGCAGCAGTTAAACTAAAATTAATCCAAAATAATGTTATTAACATAAACATAATATTATGTAATATATAAAATTACTAATTTTAATTTACAAAAAAAAAATCAACATAAAATTTTAATTACTCTTACGTTGTCAATGCGAAATCAAATAACTGCAAACAGAAAAATGGTAACAAATGTGATGGTTTTCCTTTAATTGCTCCATAAATCATCATTAATGTTATTGCAATCATGCATATGCACACAAGACCTCCCATATCAATGTTGTCTGAAGGAAAGTATCAAAATTAGAAAAAAAAAAGCTTGTACAATATAATTTTCTTTAACAAAATCAGGATATTCTTACGGTAATTTAATGAATGATCCCGGTATGCATACGGTGGATCAATTTTACTCAATGGTGTTGGTAATGCTGGAGCACTCATATCAACGCAATCGTCACAGTTATTATCGAGATCATTCATCATTTCTGGATTTCTAATCATTATTGCAAGTAATGTTAGCGCAATTATGTTAAGAATCTTTAAAGAAAAAAAAAATTTATTACAAAATTTCATCTAATTTCCCTTAAGCATTTTATTACGGACACAAAATATACTTTTTTGAGACTCTCCATAAAGTTTATATTTTATAAAATTTTTCATACATCGTTTCGAAATTTTTTTTCTTAGAAGTTTTGTAATTAACATTTTGTAAATTTTTTGTTAAAATCTAAAATGCTCAATAATTAGGTGGTATTCAAAAGGAGATCACAATTTTTTCTTCAACTTGAGGAAGTGCTTCAGCAAATCCAAAACTATAAAATCCTTTACATACATGTAAAAACCACTGAATAATTAAAAGCCTTGCGGGTTTCTAAATTTCCTTAGTTTCTGACGATATTTCTATGAATTCTTTTCATCACCTGTTTCCAAATTCTTAATTATAACTCTTGTGATATTAAATTCTATATAAGTAATTTTGACAGAGTGCAAATATTACAAATTACTGGAATGATAATTTGTAATCAAGTGTTATAGAAGGACGCATATTAGTACGATAATAGATTATTTAAAATGAATGATTGTTAGAAATAGATTAAATATAAAACATTTTTATTAATATTACAGTTGAAAAATTTACTTTTACCAGAATACATATATGCAGAAGCCCTTCGACTAAGTAACAGGACATTATTACCGAACAAATAGATGAGATTTTAGACTATCATTACATTATAAAACAAGCACCGCAAATTCTTTAAAGTATAAAGGTGTACCAGTGTTTAATCGATTGCCGATGAACTTAAAAATCGAAAAATATTTAGAAAACATTCATCTTTCATGACAATTGTAAGCTCTTCTTTCATGACAATTGTAAGCTCTCCTTCCATGACAATTGTAAGCTCTTCTTTCATGACATATTTTTTATTATATTGTGATACATATTTGTAATGATTAATTTAATCATTGTAAAATAAGAACTTTTTAAGAGTTTCTATAAAATTAATATATAATGATTTTCAAAAATTAAGTGAACCTACATACATTTGTATATCATCAAAATTCCATCAAGAATTTTAACAAAAAAATAATTTAATTTCGTTGCGATGAATATTAAAAAATTGCCACGTCAAAAGAACATGCACATGAATAAAAACGTATATATTTTTAATAAATAATGCAAAAATCCACGTGAGATAGCATGCGAAATTGCACACACAATACTTATTAAGAAAAAAGCTGAATAAAATAATTTAATCAATTTATATATATGACATCAAAAAAATATACATATTTATTTTTTACACAATTTTATTTTGCATCTATTTTTAACTAACAAAAGTAGTTTTCCTATAATTAGATCAAGAAACCTTTAAAGTCACATCAACATTTTCATTTATTTTATATTTATATTTACTACATATGTAGGTACCTACATATTTGACCTATTTTATAAATTTTTTCAAATAGTAAAAATGCAAACATGTTAAAAAGGAAAAACAATTTTTTATATTTTTAATTAAAAATATTTATGTTTTTTTATTCAGACTAGCTTTGATTCCTTTTTTTTTTGAGTCACTGCTTAATAAAGACTATACAAAATGCTCTACTCTAGGAGTTTCGTTGCTACACCTTCGATTAACTAGAAAATACTTCATTGGAAATTCAAAAATATATAAATTTTATACTTAGATATCAATGAAATAGATAAATTTCATACTAATGAAATTTAAACCTTTGACTGGCTTATTTTCATTTATTTAAACAAGAATATTTATGAAGGCATTCTTAACTCCGTATAAAAATCCATAAACTCGCAAATAATTGTTTTGCATTTAAAATAATTATGTTATAATTTTTTTTAGAAAAACTAATTTAATAATTTCCAAAATTCGATAAAACTATTTTAGGCCATGTTTTTTTAACTATAGAAAACCGATAAATGGTTATTAAGTAAAAACTCACTGGAATTTTTACACGAATAAGACTAATTCGTTTCCTATCGGAACAAACCAACTAAAGAAAATATTATAGATGTTCCAAGACTCAATATTGAATAATTGCAATTTCATGAATATCGAGTCTATCTTATTAAATAACTTGAAACAAACCAATTTTAAGCAATCAATATTCATTAACCTTATTAAAATTATATTGAAATTTTAATAAATATTTTATTTGTAGATCAGTCCGTTATCATTTGTGATATCTTTTTCCTAATATGTAAATATATTGAAAAGCATTTTAATATCATAGCTATAGACAACAAATAATGTTGTTATAAATTTAAAAAATTTAAATTTTTTTTTTTAAATTTAATTTTAGATTTATGTATTGTTGCACAATCGACGTTAAAATTAACAAAAATACTTGTTTTCATTATTATATACCAAACTATGTAATTGTTACAAGGTTCTTCCTTATTTATAAAAGCAAAAAAATCATTATGAATAGTAGTAGAAATTTTGTTCATATATAATACGAGTATATACATATATTTATAAATATATGCAAATGTACATATTTGTATCAAATTTTAATAAATAGATTTACTAAAAAAAAAACAAAAGCAGGTGAGTGTGTAATCGAAATTTTGGTATGTTTTAATATTTAATCATTGATTTTCGGACTTTCTGGATTTGATTGGTTGCATTATAGAAGAGTAAACATCTGAATTTGAAAATGTTGAAATAAGAAGGTTGGTAGGTACGTCTTTTATTGTTCATCTCTTAGTTTGAATATATGTACCTTGGGGGTATAAAAAGTATATTATAATTATTATTTAGAAAATTATCTAATAAGTTCTTACTTAATAATGAAATGCAGATAAGTATGTATACCATATAATATATAATCAATCATAAATCAGTCCATTACTCGGATCAAAATGTTAAAATTATATAGTAAAATTTTAAAATGAAAATTTAAAAACCTAAATTCAGATAACAAATCAATACACATAATTTAATTTGAACTTTAAGAAAGAAGATAAATTAAGCAGTTGTCATATTTTCATAAGGCTTATTGTGTAACATAATTTGAAATTTCAGCTAAATATTGTAGGTACCCACCTACCTATCAACTCAAAGCATTATGGACTTAATGTGCTGAGAATATATGGATGAATATGAGTATATTTGTATTTATATTATACAAAATACGTTTGTTTTCAACACTCAATTATGCATAGGAATACCTACATACATACTTAACATCTATTCAAAAAGTATATTTTCAGTAGGTATTCCTTTTCAATATGTACTTTATTTATGGAAGAGTAATTTATTTTCCAATTAATACATATTATTTATTCTTGAATATTAGCTAAAATAATTAAACTTACCAAATGCCACATTCCAATTAAAACGGTCGCTGTATGAACATGTAAACCAAAACAGCACGTCCATTCTTTATTATTTCTAGCTTGCGGCCCCATTTTAACACGTATTCTAAACATTTCACGTAAAAGCTAAAAAATAAAAAAAAAATTGTGTCTCTTCGATTTCTTATCAGGTTTTTAATAAATTAATTATTTTTATGCAAATGAAATTATATTAAAGTATCTACGTAGTTGAAAATTTCACTGTTTTATGAAAGTTTTTTTTTTGTTCTTTTTTTTTCAAGGTATAGACATTGATGCTGGTGAATGCACCTTCCTTTTTAACAATTTTTTTCAAAGTTCACCCCAAAATACAATAGTTTAGAAATAATTATCCATTTTCAAATTTAAGTACAATTAAATGCAAATTATTTGAAATTCTTTTTTTTTCCCTGAATTAACAAAATAAATTTTTTTTTTTATTTTATATTTCGGAACTACTTGTATCTTTTCTTTTCACAATTTCTTAGCACTGGTGAATATCAAAAGTCAAAAATGTCAAATTTGTACTAAATTTTGATTGACTACTAAAATCAGGGTTACAACAATACCTAATTGTTTGTTCAAAAAACTAAAATCTTTCGAAAATTATTTTTTTATTAAATAACATGATAGGTAAATATTCAAACTCTTGTATAGCTAGTAAATCTTCTATATAAATATAGGCAATATATATAATAATCTTCTATATAAATAAATAATAAATGAGAGAGTTCTCAGAGTATTATCAATCTGACAATTATGTCAATTACTAAAATCCTCGTTAGCTGATATTTTATAATTTATAAACAAAAATCTTTCACTTTTCTTACCTTAGAAACGGTCATTTTTAAAAAAATATTTTTTGTAAATACAGAAACACATTAAATGTTTAAAAAAAAATGAGAACATGGCAATCACTTGCGTTAGCAACAAAAGCTGGAATGCATGTCAAAAGTGAACTGGAATTCACGTCAAATATTAGAATTCTTTTTGACCTTTGCAAATTGTTTCCAAATTACGTTATTAATCTCTGTAATCAAAAATGTCAATAATCGTAGTGTTAGAATCAAATAATGAAATTTATCTGTAATTGCAGTTTTTAAAAAGATATTTGTTTTACTTTATGAACTTGGGCCTAAATTTTTAAGTACTACTTACCTTGCTATAATATTGCAGTACTAAAGAAAGGCGTTTTACCATTAAAAATTTTCTCTGATAAGTAAAAAATAATATTTTTTACATATTTTAACCGTTATTTATGTTACTATTAATAATAAATAACTCACTAATAAATACTCAAGTCATTTTACAAATATAGTATTAATATTTATAAATTTTCTTACCAATTCAAAATACCTGTTAAATCGTTTAAATCGCAATTAATCGAAAATCTCAACTGATTTACAAAAGCAATTAAAATTCTTTGAATCTGATAAATTTAACGTTAATAAACAATTAGACTGTTATGCTTGCAAATACTTCCTAAACCCTAGAATACTTGTCTTTTTTAACGTTAATATACGAATCGACTTAGAGTCTAAAAAATTTTTCATTTCAAATATCAAACTTTTTTTCTTCGAAATACTTTAGGACAGTGATTCCCCCAAAGTGGTCAATATAGAGTATAGACCCTCAGGGGTTCATACGAAAATACGAAAAGCAAGTCATTTGTAGAAGATTGAATTTATTTTTTGTTTTGTTTCGTTCATGTAAGAATTACTTTACTTTTATTTAAATTGAATAACTAAATTAGTTATTAAAGAAAATTAAATAATTGTTATAATAGTTAGAGAAAATTAAAGTTATTAGAGAAAATATGAGAATCGTTCTCCATTGAAAATAAAAAACAGAAAAAGAAGTTGGATGCGGAAATGTACTATTTATTGTGAATTCAAATAATTTTTTGTTGGTAAATATAATATAATAAAAATGCAAGAAAGAATCATAAAGGTACAAGAAAAAGAATAACGAAAAATATTATAAATACAAACATTTTAATGGAAATAACTAACATTTGTACTCTAGCTTGCAAAACTATGCACTTTGCCCCCTATGTAACTTCTTCACAATGTGCATTTTTGACTCATTCCCTAAAATATCAACACCAACTCAGGCACTCCTATTCCCATTTAAAATGGGTAAATCTGCTAAATTCGCTATGACCCCAAATATTCTAGGCATTTTACCAAACTTAAATTCATGCAATTCATTTACAATTCCTTGTCTCACCACAAAATCAACTATTGAAATAAATAAAATTTTCATCAAATTTCTTAATAAAAACACAAGGTTCAATTTAACTCCTTTATTCAAATAAAAATTTTAAAAATAAATCTAAATTTATCAGCAAAAAATTTAAATTCACCAAAAAATTTTTAAATACCACCACGAAGCCGTAATACTAAATGTAAAGTAGACTCTTTTTGAATATTGTAATCAGACAGGGTTCTCCCATCTTCCAATTGTTTACCAGCGAAGATTAAACGTTGTTGATCTGGAGGAATGCCTTCTTTGTCTTGAATTTTTGCTTTAACGTTTTCAATTGTGTCAGATGGTTCAACTTCCAATGTGATTGTTTTACCTGTTAAGGTCTTTACGAAAATTTGCATACCACCACGTAGACGTAATACTAAGTGAAGGGTGGACTCTTTTTGAATGTTGTAGTCGGACAACGTACGGCCATCTTCCAATTGTTTACCAGCGAAGATTAGACGTTGTTGATCTGGAGGAATGCCTTCTTTGTCTTGAATTTTTGCTTTTACATTTTCAATTGTGTCAGATGGTTCAACTTCCAATGTGATTGTTTTACCTGTTAAGGTCTTTACGAAAATTTGCATACCACCACGTAGACGTAATACTAAGTGAAGGGTGGACTCTTTTTGAATGTTGTAGTCGGACAACGTACGGCCATCTTCCAATTGTTTACCAGCGAAGATTAGACGCTGTTGATCTGGAGGAATGCCTTCTTTGTCTTGAATTTTTGCTTTTACATTTTCAATGGTGTCAGATGGTTCAACTTCCAAAGTAATAGTTTTGCCTGTTAAAGTTTTAACGAAGATTTGCATTCCACCACGGAGACGTAATACTAAATGTAAAGTAGATTCTTTTTGAATATTGTAATCAGATAATGTGCGTCCATCTTCCAATTGTTTACCAGCAAAAATCAAACGTTGTTGATCTGGTGGAATACCTTCTTTATCTTGGATTTTTGCTTTTACATTTTCAATAGTATCTGATGGTTCTACTTCCAAAGTAATTGTCTTGCCTGTTAAGGTCTTTACGAAAATTTGCATACCACCTCGAAGACGTAATACCAAATGAAGGGTGGATTCTTTTTGAATGTTGTAGTCGGACAACGTACGGCCATCTTCCAATTGTTTACCAGCAAAAATCAAACGTTGTTGATCTGGTGGAATTCCTTCCTTGTCTTGAATTTTAGCTTTTACATTTTCAATGGTGTCAGATGGTTCAACTTCCAAAGTAATAGTTTTGCCTGTTAAAGTTTTAACGAAGATTTGCATACCACCTCTTAAACGAAGGACAAGATGTAATGTTGACTCTTTTTGAATATTGTAGTCGGATAATGTGCGCCCATCTTCTAGCTGTTTGCCGGCAAAAATCAAACGTTGTTGATCTGGTGGAATACCTTCTTTATCTTGGATTTTTGCTTTTACATTTTCAATAGTATCTGATGGTTCTACTTCCAAAGTAATTGTCTTGCCTGTTAAGGTCTTTACGAAAATTTGCATACCACCACGGAGACGTAATACCAAATGAAGGGTGGATTCTTTTTGAATATTGTAATCAGATAATGTACGTCCATCTTCCAATTGTTTACCAGCAAAAATCAAACGTTGTTGATCTGGTGGAATACCTTCTTTATCTTGAATTTTTGCTTTTACATTTTCAATAGTATCTGATGGTTCTACTTCCAAAGTAATTGTCTTGCCTGTTAAGGTCTTTACGAAAATTTGCATACCACCTCGAAGACGTAATACCAAATGAAGGGTGGATTCTTTTTGAATGTTGTAGTCGGACAACGTACGGCCATCTTCCAATTGTTTACCAGCAAAAATCAAACGTTGTTGATCTGGTGGAATTCCTTCCTTGTCTTGAATTTTAGCTTTTACATTTTCAATGGTGTCAGATGGTTCAACTTCCAAAGTAATAGTTTTGCCTGTTAAAGTTTTAACGAAGATTTGCATACCACCTCTTAAACGAAGGACAAGATGTAATGTTGACTCTTTTTGAATATTGTAGTCGGATAATGTGCGCCCATCTTCTAGCTGTTTGCCGGCAAAAATCAAACGTTGTTGATCTGGTGGAATACCTTCTTTATCTTGGATTTTTGCTTTTACATTTTCAATAGTATCTGATGGTTCTACTTCCAAAGTAATTGTCTTGCCTGTTAAGGTCTTTACGAAAATTTGCATACCACCACGGAGACGTAATACCAAATGAAGGGTGGATTCTTTTTGAATGTTGTAGTCGGACAACGTACGGCCATCTTCCAATTGTTTACCAGCAAAAATCAAACGTTGTTGATCTGGTGGAATACCTTCCTTGTCTTGAATTTTAGCTTTTACATTTTCAATGGTGTCAGATGGTTCAACTTCCAAAGTAATAGTTTTGCCTGTTAAAGTTTTAACGAAGATTTGCATACCACCTCTTAAACGAAGGACAAGATGTAATGTTGACTCTTTTTGAATATTGTAGTCGGATAATGTGCGCCCATCTTCTAGCTGTTTGCCGGCAAAAATCAAACGTTGTTGATCTGGTGGAATACCTTCTTTATCTTGGATTTTTGCTTTCACATTTTCAATTGTGTCAGATGGTTCTACTTCCAAAGTAATTGTCTTGCCTGTTAAGGTTTTTACGAAAATTTGCATTCCACCACGGAGACGTAATACCAAATGAAGGGTGGATTCTTTTTGAATGTTGTAGTCGGACAACGTACGGCCATCTTCCAATTGTTTACCAGCAAAAATCAAACGTTGTTGATCTGGTGGAATACCTTCCTTGTCTTGAATTTTAGCTTTTACATTTTCAATGGTGTCAGATGGTTCAACTTCCAAAGTAATAGTTTTGCCTGTTAAAGTTTTAACGAAGATTTGCATACCACCTCTTAAACGAAGGACAAGATGTAATGTTGACTCTTTTTGAATATTGTAGTCGGATAATGTGCGTCCATCTTCTAGCTGTTTGCCGGCAAAAATCAAACGTTGTTGATCTGGTGGAATACCTTCTTTATCTTGGATTTTTGCTTTCACATTTTCAATTGTGTCAGATGGTTCTACTTCCAAAGTAATTGTCTTGCCTGTTAAGGTTTTTACGAAAATTTGCATTCCACCACGGAGACGTAATACTAAATGTAAAGTAGATTCTTTTTGAATATTGTAATCAGATAATGTGCGTCCATCTTCCAATTGTTTACCAGCAAAAATCAAACGTTGTTGATCTGGTGGAATACCTTCTTTATCTTGGATTTTTGCTTTTACATTTTCAATAGTATCTGATGGTTCTACTTCCAAAGTAATTGTCTTGCCTGTTAAGGTTTTTACGAAAATTTGCATTCCACCACGGAGACGTAATACTAAATGTAAAGTAGATTCTTTTTGAATATTGTAATCAGATAATGTGCGTCCATCTTCCAATTGTTTACCAGCAAAAATCAAACGTTGTTGATCTGGTGGAATACCTTCTTTATCTTGGATTTTTGCTTTTACATTTTCAATAGTATCTGATGGTTCTACTTCCAAAGTAATTGTCTTGCCTGTTAAGGTTTTTACGAAAATTTGCATTCCACCACGGAGACGTAATACTAAATGCAAAGTAGATTCTTTTTGAATATTGTAATCAGACAATGTACGGCCATCTTCCAATTGTTTTCCGGCAAAAATCAAACGTTGTTGATCTGGTGGAATACCTTCTTTATCTTGAATTTTAGCTTTAACATTTTCGATAGTATCAGATGATTCTACTTCCAATGTAATGGTTTTACCAGTCAAAGTTTTTACGAAAATTTGCATGATGATGCTTTATATTTTTGTCCTATAGAAAGTAAAACATAAAGAAAATGAATTTAAATCTAAATAAAATTAAAAACATTTTTTTTTTATATGGATATTTAAAAAAAAATTTTGACACAAAGAAAGTGGATAGGTATTACTGCGACGAATTTGAATTTAAAATTTCCAATTAATTTTATTGTTTTATTTTTTTTTAAATATAGAACGGAATATACGATGTTTGTTTCACAATATTAATAAAGTATTTGACCTTTGTTTTCAGATTTGAGAGAAGATAAAGTAAATTTCTCAAATCATATGGAGATCAACGCCTTCGTAGCCTATTTTTAATTTAAAATTACATTACGGAAATAAATAATATTATTTACACATTCCTACCTATGTACATAACATATATAATTCGGAAAATATATGTTTTTTTTTTAACATTAATGATAAATATATAAATATATACATATGACGTTTGTTTTACAATCACGTCAAATTTTTAAAAGAATTTACATAAAAATGATTTAATTTTTTATTTATCAATTTAAGTTACTTTTCTAGTTTATGTGTGAACCTATTATATATACATATGTTGCTGTGCTATATTACAAAAACAATCGTTTGTAAACCAAATTTCAAAAGCCTTGCAAACGTATGAAAAAATAATTACGCTTATTTAAAAATTAAATTATGCAGATAAAGCTTTAGTAAGTACGTTCCTAAATTAAGAATTAATTATTTTGCGTTTTTTTTTATAAAAAATATTTTTCCTTTATTGTTCTATACCTACGTTTAAAAACAATTATAATTAATTATATGAATGTAGTCATAACTCATAATTCAAAATGGCTACCAAAATAATTCAGTATACACAATTTTCTTGGAAATTAGTTATTAATTACGAATGAAATTGTTTATTTCATAATTCATGAACTTTCAAAAAATTTTATTAGATAAATATTTGTACATATAAATATATATTACAAAATTTTTCAGAATGACCTGTGTAGATTATCTTCGACAAAATTTTATATTTTCAACTAGGTAGATAGGTACTTTTCTATAAAAAAAAAAAAATTAAAATTACTTGAAATTTAAATACGCAAGTATTTTTTTTCAGAATTAAAATTAAGTAGATCTACATATATATGTTCCTATATAATTTTATTTGAAATTGATAGGTAGATAGAACATACGTAATATATGGCACACAATTTTAAAAATAGCCACATACCAAGAAAGTATTTTTATTTTTACAATTTTTGTAAAAAATAAAATAAATTTCAAATGCAAGAAATCGATTATATTACATTGATAAATTTTTTGCATATATATATAAATATATATGTATATGTAGTTATAAACGTATGTACCTAGTCGCGTTTCATTGATTTTTCCTTTTTTCTTACATATATATATCAAGATTATTGAATGCGTGTATGTATTTTTTATGAAAATTTTTTTCTGACTGACCTAATCAATCAATAATATAGCCTTATTCCTTGAAATTCTTCTAAAAGGCAAAGAACACAAGATTTCGTATATAAATCTTTATTTTATTAAATAATGCATCAATATTTGCTCTTAAATTTATTTTATTTTAAAAAAATAATTTTTAATTTTAATAAAATTTTAATTGTAACTGCGTAGACATACTAAGTGAATGCGTATAACTTACAATGCAATTAATAATTTCTGAATTGTTCTAGGAATAAAATATTTTAATTTAATACAAAAGCAAAAAATTTGATATGAAAAAAAAAGTCCAAAGTATCATAGAAATTACTAGAAAAATTAATTAACTTTAACGAATAATAATTAAAAATTTTTATGAAATACACACAGTCATCACGAATTGATAAGTACAATGGAAAAACACACATCTACATATTTATATGTATATGTACAAACGAATCGATTATTCATTTCTCTACCTCTTAAAAAAAAAAACTTAATTTCATATGACTGACGCAATCGTTTTTTTTTTCCTCCAACTAAGAAAAAATTTTCCTAATTTTGTAAAAAAAAAAAATATTAAATATTTCACTTTTTTAAAAGAGAAAAAAACAAATCCTTTTTATTTTTAATTTTCACTCTTTTGAATATTAGAAGGCACTTTTTAAATTTTTTTTAAAACTTAAATTTTATTTCCGCCATCTTGAAATTATTAACAAAGAAAAAAATTTGTCTTTGAACAAAGACAATAAAATTTTATTAAAATTACTTAAAAATATTAATTTTTGCTTTTTGTAAAATCAAAATATATTAAATTATATTTTTATAATTAATAAAAAAAAAAAAGAATTTGCAACTCACCTTCAAAATTAACACAGACTAAAATTTTTTGGTGATCAATCAAATTTGATTTTTTTTACAAAATGTTTTTCAAAGTTAACTTGGATTTTCACTTTTTTTTTTACAATATTTATTTTAATTCCTTTTGTTTTACAATTAATTTAATTTTTAATAAATTATTTCTTTTTTCTTCCTCAGCACTAACTTTTCTATTTCAATTGCTTTTCTTTGCTTTGCTCTTGACAAAAAACTACAAGTTTCTGAAGAAAATTTCGAATTGCTTTCGTTTTAAATGCTTATGAAATATGGAAAATGTATTCAGCAGTTCAGCTTTAAATAGAATAAATTCAGCAATGAAATAAATAAAATAGAACATAATTGGAATTTATAAACATGAAACAACAAGGCTAGACTGATTTTTTTTTTTTTAAATTTCATTTCGTTTCGTATTTTCTTATTTTACTATTTTTATAATTTCTTGGTTTTCAAAATCAAAATTCAATGACTTTTTAAGTTTTCTTTGTTTTTGTATGATTTCTTTTATTTTGAACAACAAAAAATAAAATTTATAATACCAAATTTTAAATGAATTTTTAGATTACTTGCTTTATCATATATGTACATATCACATGTATAGAATTTATTATATCATACATATATAATTATAATAATGAGAAAAATAATCGATGTGAGAATATGACATTAAACTTTCTTTCGATTTATTTTCGATAACTATTTGGGAAAAATACATACATACCTACACTATGTATGACACTTACATATGTACAATCAGTTTGATTATTTCTCACTGATTACAAATACCATTATCAATTAACATCATTTTCTATTTTTGAAATTAGATACAAACACACCGCGACCCAAGAGGTCGTTGAGCGTCTCACCTTCATATGTGACAGTGGCCTGATTGCGAAAATGACATTTCGAATAAATTGCTATTGAATAATTAAGTAATTCATTTTTAAGAAAATTTTTAAAAGGCAAAAATAGAGTATTCTAAGCATTTTGAAAATGTAGAACAATTTTTTATGCCAATACAGCTCTATTGAACATAATAATAAAAGAAATACAGCTCTAAAGAACGTTATTTGAAAGAAATTAAATTTTAGAAATATTGAGAATGAAAAACAAGAAGATGGTAAGACTTACTTAGAATAACAAGATCATCGAGTCTCGTAGAATTTGCGCCGCTGGATTGCTGATTTATCAATGCAAGGCTGTCGCTTGATTTCCGAATGGAGTTTTTGGCTCCCTTTTATTTACTTGTGCTTCAGTGCTCCATTATCAGTAAAAAGCTCCGATTTGTAAATTACGGATCCGAAGAACTACTTTTTATTAAGGGTTTCTACCTAAGTATATTATTAATTCATAGATCTTACGTGAAATATTTTTTACTTTTTATTATGTATCTTCTGTTTGAATATAATTTATTATAGGAAAATCAATACTTTCCGCAGTATGCAGTAAAAATCTTTACATTCATAATATCTTAACAACTAAATTATTTTAATCAGAGTTATTAAGAACTTAGTATCAGAATATTAATAAGCAAAGAGAGGTCTCTAGAGGATAGGATGTTGGGCTACATTTAAATCACAAAAGTTCCGTTTTTTTCCGAAATCGGCTACTTTGTAAAATTGTGAGACGGCAGCCCTATTTATAAGTAATACTGGTCAGAAAGTTGGATAAAAAATAAAAACATGAACTAAAAACTAAGGCTACTGAAAAGTATTGATAAAAAATTGCTTAGAATTTTGAAGTTTTCGTATTCCATATTTTTGTGAAAATTTATACGTAGTTATGTAAATGATTTGCTTTCCATTCTATTAAAATTTTTATTTCTATATTAGCTAATATTTCCATATTAGAGTAATATATATTACATATTATATGCATGTATATAAACAGTTATTCATAAATAAACATGGATTACATTAGCATTTTGAAAAATTTTGGTAAGTATGTACATATATACATACGTATGTATATAAATACCACAGACATCTTTACATTTACATTATACGTACATTCTTCTTCTTTATGATAAGTACCCATCTCTTGTTCCAACTTTGTAATTCTCAGTTTAAGCAATGCATAATAGAGATTTTATTTATAATAGATAACTTCTTTTATAATGTGGTCGGCTTTGTTTTTGGAGAATGTATTTGCCGGTTAATAAATGCAATTTATGAATACTTGAAATATCCAAATCATTATGAACCAAAACAGAGATTTCTTACAATTTTAAAAATTACATTTGATTTCCAAAGAAAAACGTTATTAGTTTTTTTTCTCGTAATTTTATGTTCGCATTTATGGAATAACCCGGATTTTATAGATGAATTGTTAAACCGAAGGGACTTAATAATTGCATATGTAATTTTAATGAAATTAAAACTGCATAAGTCAGCTTTATTGGACGCAGCTGAGTGGTATTCACAAACAAAATTGGAAAAATATCGAATTTGAAATAACAGCATATTTTTTAAGGATAAGATCCGGTTCAGGTGTGGATTATGCATCTGGAATGGCTTCCAACTACTTTAATGGCTATATTCGGTTACAACTTCCCGATAAAGGTGATGGAAAAAAAGGTAAAACAAACTACAATTTTAATCCAATAAGTACATACGTATACAGGAAAACCTTATACAAAATATTCTAATAATTAATAGGAATTATTGAAAGGTGTGACGAATACGAAGATAAACACGATGTAAAATTTGCAGCTAAAAAGTTATTTATACTAATCCCACATTCTATGCACATGAAACCTGTTATTAAAAGTGAATTGCTTAAACCAGCTGATGTAAATCTAATCTATATATCTAATAATATTTTTGTTTCATTTAGTACATATTCAATTATTATGTTTTAGCCACTAGAACTTGTTGAAAGAGATAGAGCCGGCGTAAAAAGACCATTTAAAAACGACGTATATTCAATAATAACTGAGAAGATCAAAGGTAAAACACAAAAATTTTATATAGTACTTGAGGGGGCTACTCCTATGCTAAGTTTTTATGATTCATGCGAAAACCGTGTAACCTCAACAGACTTAATGAAAGTGATGAAAAGAGAAATCTTATTTCAATTTTATAGAAGCATTAAAAAATATTGCTTAGAATGTCCAGAAACGCAAAACGAAGTGGATTTTATATACTATAATGGTAAGTATGTTATAAATTCTTTATACCATTTTTTGAATTCAATTTCTATTAAATTTTATATATATTTTAGATTATGACATTCATGGAAAGCTTATTGACATAGGAGAAATTGTGAAAGCGTATATAGAAAATAAAGTTCTTCAATAGATCATAAATATTGATCTGCTTTAAAAATTATCAAAACAAAAACTTAACATTAACTATTTTAAACCAGATCATTATTATAACGAAAAAAAAAAGTGTTGCTTTTAAAAATAAAATTTTTACTAAAAATATAAACTATTCTACTATCCAGCTGGTTAAAATTAAACTTTTTTATAATTTTTTATAATGAAATTTTTTTTATTAAACGATCTGTGTTAATTATTTGTAATGAATCTTACCTGAATATTATGCAGATTTAATTACTGAATAAAGTTGACAATAATTTTAAGTTTTTATCATAGCTTTTGTATATATGTTTGAAAAATATACATACATATATTACTTATTGTTTTTTAATTATTATATTTCCTCTAGTAATCATTAACTAGCAGTAATGGTACATATATCTCGAACATAGACTCATCTTCACAACTTCGCAAAGGATTTCCAAGCAATTAGTTCCGAGATCTAAAAAATGTCGGAATAAAAATTTAAGTGAAGGTGATAACACTTTTCCATACAATATGATCGAGTCTCGTATAGTCATAATTATCTGAAGCGCTGAATTGAGAATTTACAAGTGATTTGGTGTTAGAATAAAAAAAACAACAAAAGGTACTTAATTAGTAATAACAAATTCATTGAAATCTTGAAGATTTTGTACAATAATGTGGTAGAAACTTGTAATAAATTTTATTTTTATATAAGTATAATAATAATAACAAAACGTAATTAGCTATTCATAAGTAAATATGGATTATATTAACAATTTAAAAAATTTCGGTAAGTACATACCTATGTAAATAAATACCTACATATACATATGTTTGTAGCCCCCTAGCTGTACTCAAGTTTAGTTTTGTTTAAATTTTCTATTTGACCCATGAGTAAAATAAATTTTATTTAAAATAGATAACTTATTTTATAATGCAGTCGGTCTTGTTTTTGGAGAATGTATTTGTCGGTTAATAAATGCAATTTATGAATATTTGAAATATCCAAATCATTATGAACCGAAACAGAGATTTCTTAAAATTTTAAAAATTGCCTTTAATTTCCAAAGGAGAACGTCTTTGGTACTTTTTCTTCTTGCAATTTTATGGACGCATTTGTGGAATAACCCGGATTTTACAGCTGAATTGTTAAACCGAAGGGACTTAATAATTGCATATGTCATTGCAATGAAATTAAATCTGCATAAGTCAGATTTATTGGATGCAGCTGAATGGTATTTGCAAACAAAATTGAGAAAATATCGACTTTGAAATAAAACCATGTATTTTAAGGATAAGATTGGGTTCAGGTGTGGATTATGCATCTGGAATGGCTTCCAACTACTTTAATGGCTACATTCGATTACAACTTCCTGACAAAGGTGATGGAAACAAAGGTAAATCAAACTAGGTATTTTTGTGATCCAATAACTCCAGTACATGTAGATATATACATATTTGGAAAAGAGCTCAAAAAGTTCTAATAATCAATAGGAATTATTGAAAGATGTGAGGAATACGAAGGTAAACACGGTGTAACGTTTGCAGCAAAAAAGTTATTTATCCTCGTGTCACAATCTTTGCACATGAAACCTGATATCGAAAGTGAATTTCTTAATCGAGCAGAGGTAAATCTTTTTATTAATAATATTTTTATTTAATCAATTATTCAATTATGTATTATGTCAAAGCCATTGGAGAACGTTATAAGGGACAGAGCCGGGGCAAAAAGGCCATATAGAAATGATGTATATTCAATAATAGCTGAAAGAGCTTTCATTGACGAGGAAGGAACAAAAATTAAAATTAAAGAAAAATATTATATAGTACTTGAAGGGACTATGCTAACTTTCTATGATACTTACAAAAATAAAGTAACCTCAACCGATAAATTGAAAATGATGAAAAGGGAAATCCTACTTCAATTTTATAAAAGCATTAAAAAATATTGCTTAGAATGTCCAGAAACGCAAAACGAAGTGGATTTTATATATTACAACGGTAAATAAGATTATTAACACTTAATACTATTTTTTGCATTGAGTTGCTATTAATATAAATTAATATTCATTAATATGTATAATTTAGATTGCGAACCTGACGGAAGTCTTAAAGACATAGGTAAAATTGTAAGGAAGCATCTGGAAGATGAAGTTATAAATAAGAATTAGAATTAAAGACTGTTTACAAGTTTGTGTTGAAAACTCCCAAATATTGCAAGTTAATATTACTACCTAGGCAAAATAATGAAGAGTATTAACAGACTTAAAACTCAAAATCCGCCGATAAAGAACGATGACAATTTATGGGCCTTAAGTAAAAAAGAAAAGATATATATTTGAGAGGTTTATAGTTTGACAATTTCAAACCACTATCACAGCAAACTCGCTTATACTTTTACAATCAGTTAACTCTCACAGACAGTGGAACTCCAAAAATAAGGTTAAGCGAATTGAGAAAATAAATAAGTGTGATGAAAAACAAAAAAATCTGCTGAACATAATTTGATCACGATTGAAATTCTCATACAACTTCTGCAAAAGGGGCTAAAAATGCTTTTATATGTATGCTGTAGCTCTTAGACTAAATTACGTTTTAAAATAATTAAAAGCAGCAGAAGTACCAATGGTGCTTATGCTAGAAAAGGATATAAACGAAATAACATCGTACAGACCCATTTCATTCCTATCAATGCTTTGTAAGAGAAAAACGAATTGTTGGGTATGTCTCTCAACTCAGCTTGGTTGCAGTATTTCTCAATTTAAAAAAAAATTATTTTGTCCAATATATTTATTATAAACAATAAAATTCACAACTTTTTTTTTCAACATGCTTTTATTTTTTTAATTCAATTTCGAATTTTGTAGAGTTCAGTGGACAAAAACAAAATTATGGAACAAAGCGACGAGTATATAACTTTATTTATACAAAAGAGGAATATTTATTTTAATTATACAAAAGAGGAATATTTACGTATAAGCGATTCGCTGCTAGTACTAGTAGATTTCGAGCTTTATCTTATTTCCGTATTTCAGTATTTCTTACGAAAATTATAAAGAGGCTTTCCAGCAATTGTTCTGAAATTTAAATGATGGGATTGAAATTTAAGTGGAGGTGGTAACACTGTTCTAAAATAAAAGATCATCGACTCTCGTATAGTCATAATTATCTGAAGTGTTGAGTTGAGAATTTAGAAAGATTTATGGTTAAAATAAAAAAAAATAACAAAAGAATTAGTAATAAAAATTTTTAGGAAATCTTGAAGATTTTGTGGGATAATGTGCTGTAAACTTGTAATAAATTTAATTTTTATATAAGTATAATATTAATAAGAAAACATAAATAAATATGGATTATATTAACAATTTAAAAAATTTCGGGAAGTACGTACCTATGTAAATAAATACCTACATATATGTATGTAGCTTCCTAGATAAACTCAAGTTCAGTTTTGTTTTAATTTTCTATTTGAGCCATGAGTAAAATAAATTTTATTTAAAATAGATAACTTCTTTTATAATGCGGTCGGCCTTGTTTTTGGAGAAATTATTTGCCGGTTAATAAATGCAATTTGCGAATATTTTATATATCACAAGCATTATGAACCAAAACATACATTTTCTACAATGATGAAAACTACATTTGATTTCCAAAAGAGAACGTTATTAGTTTCCTTTTTTCTTGTAATTTTATTTTCGCATTTATGGAATAATTCCAATTTTATAGATGAATTGTTAAAAAAAAGGGAATTAATGATTTCATATGTCATTTTAATGAAATTAAATCTGCATAAGTCAGCTTTATTGGACGCAGCTGAGTGGTATTCACAAACAAAATTGGAAAAATATCGAATTTGAAATAACAGCATATTTTTTAAGGATAAGATCGGGTTCAGGTGTGGATTATGCATCTGGAATGGCTTCCAACTACTTTAATGGCTACATTCGGTTACAACTTCCCTACAAAGGTGATGCAAAAAAAGGTAAATCAAACTAGGTATTTTTGTAATCCAATAACCCCAGTACATGTAAATATATACATATTTGGAAAAGAGCTCAAAAAATTAATAATCAATAGGAATTATTGAAAGATGTGAGGAATACGAAGGTAAACACGGTGTAACGTTTGCAGCGAAAAAGTTATTTATTCTAATCCCACAATCTATGCACATAGAACCTGCTTTTCAAAGTAAATTGCTTAATCGAGCTTTGGTAAATCTAATTGCATATTTTTCTATAATTATTTTTAAATCATTATTATTGTGTTAAACAGTCTTTGGAGACTGTTGTAAGACACAGAGCCGGAGTCGAAAGGCCATTTAAAAATGATGTATATTCAATAATAGCAGAAAGAGTTTTGATTCTTGACGAGGATGGAACAAAAATTAAAGTTAAACAGAAATATTATATAGCACTTGAGGGGGCTACTCCTATGCTAAGTTTTTATGATTCCTGCGAAAGTAATGTTACCTCATCTGATTTAATGAAAAAGATGAAAAGGGAAATCCTATTACAATTTTATAAAAGCATTAAAAAATATTGCTTAGAATGTCCAGAAACGCAAAACGAAGTGGATTTCATATATTACAACGGTAAATAAGATTATTAACACTTAATACTATTTTTTGCATTGAGTTGCTATTAATATAAATTAATATTCATCTATGTATATTTTAGATTGCGAACCTGACAGAAGTCGTAAAGATATAGGTGAAGTTGTAAGGAAGTATCTTGAAGATAAAGTTATAAATAGCAATTAAAATAAATTAGCTTGTGATAATAAATTTCAAAGTTAAGATTAATTATTGTAGCCATTATTATTATAATCAAAAAAAAAATCACAAATCTTTTTTTTCAACAAATACAAACTTTCATTTTCTAGTTCATTAGAAATAAACTTTTTTATACTTTTTAATAATGTAATTTTTTTCTTTGTTATACATTTTTAAACGATCTCTGTTAAATATTAGTAAAGATAAAGATGAATCTTATTCTAAATATTATGAAGATTGGATTACTTAACAAAATTGACAATAATTTTAAATTTTTATCATAGCTTTTGTACATGCTCGAAAAGAATTGCATTCAAATTTCGATGTAAATTCAAAATTTTGTATAATTTAGGTGTTTTAAATTTGAACAATGTAACATACATTATGTATATAAAACATTGTTATTAAATTCATGTTTAATTGCAATATTCATTTGTATTTGTTTTGATTAGTTCATCCCATTATGGTTTTAGATCGATCATAAATTAAAGCTTCGATTATAAATGTCTGATTACAAGTAGAATTGTAAAAAATAGTGAATTTTAAGATACTTATTTAAAATAGTATTTTCATTAACTACTTATAGTACATTTACATATTTTTTATACTAAAAACACTAAAGATATTTTTTAGAAGATGTCTCCTTGAACTTAATGGATATGAATTTTTAAGAGGATACTACATACACGTAAAACTATCGTAACATAAAAATATGATTATTTTACAAGTAACGATAATGAAATAGCCAACGATCAAATAAAATATGTCCTTTCTTAAGGTCATCAAAACGACATATTATGACAATTTTTTTTATTAAACAATGAAATTATCTATTTATACGTACGTAGATAAAAAATGTATTATTATGCATGCAGTTAGTGTGTATTTCTACTATTTATATAAATAGAAATCAAAAAAATTTAATGTTTTTTGAAATATTAAAAATATCAAAATACATATATATGTACATAACGTGTTCGTGGTCTGTTGAATTGTTAGATGGCTGTTTAATTGTCTGTTGAATTCTTAAAATATTAAATTTTTAATGAAACTAAATGATCAAACTTAAATTTAAGGTTTGATCGATAATGTAAAAAGTACGTTGAAATCCTTAGCATCTTAATCCATATTGCAGTTAACAAAAGCATTGTAATTTTTAATGTTGTTAACCGATGTCTAAATTTATAGTATAACCGATTTTTTGCATTATCGGTGGCCAATGTCACGTAATTAACAATATGTAATGTCAATTACCAGTCATATTATTACAATTTTTTGGCATTTTTGTAATAAAAAACTGCTGATTCAACTGCTAATTTTTTTTTTTGTGAAAAATGAAAGTTTTTGAAGAGGATAAGCAATTTTTATTTAATGAAATTTAATCCAAAAATTTTTTTTTAGCATTTGGATAAACATTTAAATTATTTATTTTTTTTTTTAGTATGTACATATTTACAAACACTTTGTAAGAAATAGAAAACTTAACGTAGATAAAGGTAAATACACATGAAGTGTTTTCAAATAAAATTGGTTTTAACATAAAATTTAAATAAAATAAAAATATTATAGAAAATACTTATTTTGTACACACCATACGAGTAAATATAAAAAAAACTAATTAATTTTAATTTGTAATCATAAAATAAATGTATAAAGCAATGAACAAAAAAAAAAATTAAACAAGAACTTTAGAATTTGGCAGGATGCCAGTTAAAAAACAAATTTTTTTGACTCTTTTCATTGATCTGTTATTGAACGGTAGAGTACTAATTAATATATATGAAACTCTGGTATATGTGAATAGGTAGATTTGTTTTTATTTTGTTATTAATTTACCTATGTGTTATTTTATATATGTACCCATTTGTTATTTCTTTATTTTAAGAATGGTTTTTCATTTAATTTTTAATATTTTTCATAAAAATTTTAACATACATATAGTACAAATAGTACTATCAATTTAATACATATGAAATTTTTTGATTATTTAATCAAAATTGATTTTAATCATTCAAAACTCATGTAATTTTCTAAATGCACGTGTACATTTTCAAATTTTTCTTTTACGAATAGGTTAACATCGTATTATTCGCATAGAATCCTCTTTCTATAAATAAATTTCTTATGAATAATGAATATTTGTATAATGACTGAATAAGTCGAATTGATGTTAGATCAACATTTTGGTAGACCCTCAAACATTGAATATATTAGAAATTCCATTAAGAAAATTGGGATGAATTTGTATCTTAAAATTCTGCAGAAAATAAAAATAATAACATTTAAAAATTCTTAATTAAATAATTTTTATTTTGTCATTTATGATTAAAGAATTGGTTAAAGTAAATATACTTAATTAACATTATTGTATTTTTAAATTATAACGAAATATTTTCTTTAACATTTTCACTTTTATCTCTCTAATATGTAACAATATATCAACATCAAAACACATTAAAGCAAAGTTTTGTAGTATTTTGCAAACTCGTTTAAAGAAAATATTTTGGTGGAATTCTTAATCATTCTTCTCTTTCAAGAGATTTATTAACTTTGCTATTTCTGTGTATTTTTATTTTTTTTTACATTTTATATGTTAACCAAGAGAAAAAATACAATAACAATAGATGTATTTGTTATATTTGATGTATGTATTTATTGTGGGTTACGGAAATTTTTGCCAGCAAATTTAGCATCAGCTCCAAGTTCTTCTTCAATACGAAGAATTTGATTATATTTAGCCAAACGTTCAGAACGGCAGGGAGCACCAGTTTTAATTTGTCCAGTGCTAAGGCCGACAACTAAATCAGCAATAAAAGTATCTTCAGTTTCACCTGAACGATGTGATACCATTGTACCCCAGCCAGCGCTCTTCGCCAACAAATGTGCTTTAATTGATTCGGTTACTGTACCAATTTGATTTACTTTCAACAATAAGCAATTGCATGCTTTTTGTTCAATAGCCATTTGGATACGTGATGGATTTGTTACAGTTAAATCATCACCAACAATTTGAATTTTTGTTGCGGCAGTCATTTGACTCCATGCATCCCAATGATCTTGATCAAAAGGATCTTCAATGCTTACCATTGGGAATTCTTGAATAAATTCAAGATATAAATTGGTTAATTTTTCTGGTGTTAACCATGTAGCCTTATCACTATGGGGATTTTTAAAGTCCAAATCGTATAAATGTTCTTTGTGGAATTCAGAAGCAGCAACATCCATTCCAATTTCAACTTTACCTTCATAACCACCCTTTTTAATGGCATCTTGAATCAAAATCAAAGCATCTCTATTATCTAAAATATTGGGAGCGAAACCACCTTCATCACCAACAGCAGTAGCATCTAAACCGAACTTATCCTTAATAACTTTTTTCAAATGATGATATACTTCTGAACCAATTTTCATGGCTTCAGTAAATGATGATGCTCCAGTTGGAAGAATCATGAATTCTTGCATAGCCAATTTATTACCGGCATGGCTACCACCATTAATTACATTGAATGCGGGACATGGTAGAACAATATTTTTGTTGCCGGCTAAATCAGCAATATGTCTGTAAAGTGGTACACCTTTCTTGGCAGCGCCAGCTTTGCAAACAGCCAATGATACGCCTAAAATTGCATTGGCACCGAATTTGGATTTGTTTTCTGTACCATCTAATTTAATCATGAAGTTGTCGATATCTTCTTGTTGATTTACTTCCAAGTTGGCTTTAATGAGTTCTGGAGCAATAGTTTTGTTGATGTGATCAACAGCTTTCTTTACACCTTTACCATGATAAGCTCCTTTTTCGTTGTCACGCAACTCTAATGCTTCATGAACACCAGTAGATGCACCAGATGGAACAGCAGCGCGGAATAGTCCCAATTCAGTTGTAAGATCAACTTCAACAGTAGGGTTACCACGGGAATCGAAGATTTGACGTGCTTTGATTGATTTGATTGGCATCTTAGACTAAAATTAAAATATTATTTCGTTAGTTTTCCAAAAATATTCAGAAAATTGTGTAAATTATTTTATAACTTTCACTAAAATTTTAGGTATGTCTGGTTTTATATGTTCCTTTACAAGATATGTATGTATAATCCAAAAATGAGTTGATATTAACTCCAAATAAAATTTTTAAACAAAATTTATTTAATGTGTATGCACCAGAGTAGGTAGTTTAAAAAAAAAATCAACGGAAGGTGATCAATTTACCTGAATATGAAGTGAATAAACGAATTAAAATGTAAAAACTCGGTGCCTAGATAAAGTATCTAACTCGGGCAATCCTTGAAACCCAACTATTCATTTAAATAAGAAACGTATTGTATTTATTAAAAAGTTGGAAAATAAAATTTTCCCAGTGGGAGTAAGACACAATGAAAAAAAAAAAAAACATTTGACCTCTACGTCCTCATCAAAGGTCATTCAATATTCTCCCGAAATTTTTCCATAAACGAAAAACTATTTCCAAACAATAAATTTGTTATAAATAGAACACAATGATCTAGTTGTACATTTTATGGAATTTTTCCTTCTTTTTGTTAAAATTCTTGAAAATTATTATATAATTATGGAGCCATTGCATTATAAAATTGCATATTTTGACATAAGTATTAATCTATCATGATTTTATACGTATGTATATATGTAAATGGTTTAAGTATTGTGATAACAAGTGATATTATTTGTGAAAAATTTATGTAAATATGTATGTATAAAATATGAAAAATAATGTAAGCATGAAATTCACTTACTAGATATTTTAAAATGATTTAAGGAGATTAACTTTAAATTTTATTTCCAAATATCGTTTACCGCGCGGCAATATCACGACTGATTTGACGACACTCTTTAAAAATCTATTGAGTTACAAAAAAATGATTTTCGGAAAACCTTTAAAAATATTCAATGACAAAAAGACAAAGCTTTCGGAATTCAATAAAAGCTCTTCGAAACACAATTATTTATTTCAATTCGTTCCAAATTGAAACAGAATTTCGAAAATCTAAAAAAAGAAGAAAAAGAGTAAGAACACATGTATAAAGGGAATTTGGCATGAAAGTTATTAATTTAACGTTTAATTTAGTACAAATTTTAGAGTCTATTCAGTACTACTGTCAAAAATATTTAAAATGCAAAAACATTTTCTCAGTTTTTCCTCTATTTTTTTTTTTGCTGCTCCAAGATTCGAATAATACTACAATGGCGGAAACAAGACATTCTAATTAAATTTTTTATTAGAAAAGACAATTTCCGCAATTTAAGTACCTACATATATAATGATTTAAGAATAATTTCTTGTTCGTAACTTTGTTTTTTTTTTTTTTCGTTCTTTACAAATAAATAAATAGTAAGAATGTATTTCGATTTAGTACAAATAGAAATTCATAATTTGCCCAATATTAATTTTCATTTTGAAAAAATCCGTCTGAAAATCTCTTCATCTCAATATGATTTAGTAAAAAGTTACAACATCATCGTTTACGGGTAAAATTTTTATTTGGAACTGGGTGTCAAATCTTAACAGTTTTCGAGATAGATAAATTAATTTGCTTACAACTTCCCAAATTCCTTTTATTGATTATTTTTTTGGAACTTTTTTCTAAAAATAAACCTTTTTAAAGGTGCTGTGGTTGCCAGAGCACTCAAATAACGCAACCTTTGTCAATACTCTTTCGTTTTTAATGGCCGAGTTTCTAATCAACCAGACCTGAACCCCTGAAAATATTTATTTGTAGAAAAAAGTACCTAATATATCTTCTACATTATAAATAAAAACAAATTTATGATTATTTGTTATTTATTTTTGAAAATTTTAAAACATTTATATCAAACTATGTCCTACTATACAATAAAGTATGTGTTTATCATAATATAGCTTATTTATTTATTATTCTTTTGCATTCTTTTGCATAATGATTTTTTAATTGTATAATAAAAAAATGCACTTAATTGTTTTTTTTTATGTAATCAAAAATTACAAAATTCGTTTAATATATTTAAGTAATTAAATATGTTAGCAACAAATTATTTATTTCTCATTTATTTTTTGATTCCAGTTCTTTCTGAAACTCCAAAAAATATCCAAAAAAACTGATCTTTTCCTATTTTAAATTTTATATTTCTTGAAGAGCAAACAATTAATACTAATATATGTATATGCTTTACAAAATTAATTTTAAAAGTTTTTGTAATTTTTATAGAAAAAGATTTTTAAAATTAGTAATTTAAAAAAAAAAGCAATTTCAATAGTTTATTTTTATTTGCTTTTAATAATTCTTACAAAGAATAATTAATTGAAAAAGTAATCACAAAATAATTATTTGAAAAATATACCATATTAAATTTTTGTGTATAAAATTATTGTTTTTGTTTTTTTTTTTTGTATGTATGTCCATATAAATTTTCATATTTTTAAGATTATATTAAAAATCCGTGACTTCAAAATTGCATAAATACCGCATTAATACGCAATTCAACAATAATAAGTTTCAACTCATAAGTCAAATTATTTATTAATACCATATTATTTTAATTTTGGAGTCGAGGAGAATACATGTATGTACTAAGAATATTTTATGTCGATAAATTATTTACAATTTAATGGTGAAATTCAAATAAATTTATGTAATGAAATAATATGTAATTTAAAAAATATTTTTAAACTAATTTCAAAAACACATTAAAAACTTAATTTTTGTATAAATTAAAAAGTTGAAGATTTTCACTTATGCATATTGTTCTTAAAGTTCTATATTAGAACTTAAATTTTAAACCCTCTGCTTTTCAAACAAAAATTCCAAAACTTCAGTTTTTTGTGTTTACGCAGTCTACAATCCTCATTCGAATAGCAGAAAAAAAAATAACCCAAATGCGGCAAAAAAAAAAAAACATTTCAGCTAGATGTTTCCGCTAAATTTATAACATGTCTTTATTATGTAATAACGATCTTTCGAACGTAATTTATTACACCGAGTAATATCCGAACGACCTATATCTTCAGCGTACAATTTTCAAATGTGATAAAAGTTAGACCTATTCTAGAACTAAATTAACGAAAACCCTCATATATGTACAACAGGTTATAATTTCAAAATAGTGCAAAAAATTATAGCAATTTTATAATGTTTTAGAAACAATAAAAGAAATTAAGCACTTAAATTCAGTTACTTCCAGTTATACCTTGATTCTAACATTAGGCATGTGTAATTTTTTAGATCAATAAATAATCAAAATATTGTAATAAAAATATGTATAATGCTAACTTGCTGCAACCGTGACATAAATAAAAAAATACGATTTTCGAGTTATTTATACAGAAATAGGCACTTAAAATATATCTTTCTTGTGTAAAAGAAAAACTCAAGTTTTCTAAATTGATAATTGTCGCTCACAATAAATTATAAAGTTATGCTATAAGGAAAAAAAAAACATCTAATATGTCCAAAACTTTACAATTCAATTTTCTCTAATGTACGAATTTTGAGTTATGCATGTCAGTATTGTAGCAAACAAGCGGAATATTCATCAATATTCTTTTTGACGCTGATTTTTTGCATTTAAAAATTAATAATATTGGAAAATATAAAAACAAAAATTTGAAATAAATATTGGAATTTTTTGTGAATTTAAAACGTTCACATCTTAATGTTTCCATCAAAAAGTTAATGTAAAAATAATATTAGTGTTGTTGATTTAATCGACATCATTCAAATCGACATCATTTAATCGACATAAATTCAAATAACTTAATTTAAAACATAACAAACACATAACACTAACTTGAATTAAAAATTAATATTTGTTTTTAAGTAAAACAAAATTTTTATACTTTCGCAAATTTTAAAAATTAAATTTTGAATTTTAAAAACTTTATTATTAAGTTCATATGTACTATATTTAGGTACAAACATTTTTTTAAACATTTTTTACAAAATCCAATTAATATTTCGTTTTCAATAAAACTGATTAAATCTTCTAATACAATAACATTAAAAAATTAAGTAAAAAAATTTCAAGAAATTAGGTAACTATTAGGAAAGGATTATTTAAATTCGTTTATTGAAACGTTTATTGTCAATTTCTTTTTGTTTAGAAAATGTAGCATCCTGGACCTTATTGCACCAATCACTTTTACTTTTTAACTTTTTTTAAAAATTACTTTTTTTTATTAGTAAAGCTCATTAATATTTTGAATTTTGGCCTAAAAGAAACTTTGTAAATTTTCAAAAAAAAGTAAATAGTGCTTCATGCAATAAAACCTTGCTTCATGCAATAAAACCTTGCATTTTTCGGACTCATTAAATGAAAAAAAAAATCAATAAAAAGTAAACATTTATTTAATAATAATGTATTTTTTTTATTTAACATAATCAATTTGATTTAATTTACGAAATTTTTATTTTATTACTTTTTCTTTATAAAATGAAACAATTTGTAAAAATTCTTGTTTGCAAAACAAAAATCATTTTTTATTCTAGGGTTCTTTTAAAAAACTATTTCATTTCTGATATTTTTGCTCTACAAAAATACAATAATGCTTTTCAAATGTAAGATATTTTGTTTGCCTCTGCATATTCATGTTAATGATATTATAATTATAAAAATTTATTTATACATATATCTTTTATTATTTTAAATTATTGAATTAATATAATCGCTTGGTTAATGTTGCCCCGTTTAACCATTTCTAAATAACTCTATATTATTTATAAATTTTTACTTGCAGCGGTTTCTTCTTTCCAGCAGTATGAACTATTTCTATTTTTTCCTCCATATATATAATACACATATATTTTATTACGCATGTATATATGTATGTTTGTATGTGCATTTAGATTTAAAACGAAATATGATGGTAAAAAAACAAAAAAAAAAGAAATAATAGTAAAAAATCTTGTTTTTATAGATGAATTGGCATTGTGTATCGATCGATTAAATTTTACATTTATGAAATATAAGCATTTATTTTAAATTTGTGTGCTAAATCTTGGCCTTGGGAGCTCTCCAAATACAGCATTCCCATGAACACTTTTTGCAAGAGCTTTTATACTAGCGGCAATATCTACAGTATCATCAACAACCTAAAAAGTATAAAAAACATAAATTAATTTTCTATATACAATAATAAATAAGATTGTATATAAATATATGAAATGCGTTAAAAAGTGGCACCAATTACTTATGTATTAATATAAAAATATATATATTTTACCCCATCATCCAAATCTTCAAAATCATATTTTGTGGTACTGCCTCCCATATTTGCAATTTTAATTGGTAAACTTTTTGCAATACTATTACTACCACGTCTTCCCATATTTTTAGGTATACTCATGCCAGCACTTAATTCTCCAAGTGCATCTATAATTAAATAATAAATTATGAATGTTATAATACAATATAGATAGATATATAGATAATGAGAAAATAAATTAATTTAATACAAAAATTAACAAAGTTAACACAAACCTGCTGCGTCTTCGCATTCTTCGACATCGGACATATTTTGAGATTGATCAGTTCCTTGATATACCTCAAAATCATCTAATTCAAAAAGGCAATCATCATTTGAATTATTTAATAGTGTATTGGGACGTTGCTGCGTATTAGGAATTGTATATTGATTTTGCTGTTGGTGATGTGGTCTAAATGTTGGACTATTACCAACACTCATTGGTACATTTTCCGGTGTACCTGGTGGTGTTTCAATATTTGGTATTTGTGACTGTTGGGATGAATGATTTTGATTTAATGATTTATTAAAAACTAATAGAGATGGCGGTTGTTGTTGTTGATCAGTTTCATTTTGAGTGTTTTGTTGTTGAATGGCACCTTTTGTTTTTGCTGATGTTGCAGCTTGTTTTGTTAAAATTGTTGAATTTTTATTAGTTACATTTAATATAGTAGTTGAATTATCACTATCAGTATTATCATTTGTTTTCATTGTTGTTAAAATATTATTTGCTGTTATTGTATTATCATCAATGGCATCGATCACTTTTAATTCATCAGGTACTTGATTTACTAAACTAACTAACAATTGATATTCTTGTTCAGATTTTTCACGAAAATTTTTAAGTAAAGCAAATTGTTGTTCAGAATAACGACGAATCCTTTCGTCCGTATCACGGATTTCTTTTTGTAAACGTTGTTGTAACATTTGATTTAAATTTCTTAAGCGTTTTTGTTGTTGAATTTTTGCTGATGCAATATTATTATATTCATTCATTGATGTTGTTGAACTTATATTACTATTGCTATTCGAATGTTGAAAATTAAATATATTTTCATTATTTATATTTCCAGTTAATGTTAATTGTTGTTGATTTAATCCTGTTATAGAATTAAAACCAAATTGTAAATCATTATTTGTTTGAATTGGTGTTGTTGGTTGATGATCAATCATTAATATATCGAAAGCGGTTGAAAATGATTTACTTGTTTTAAGTGAATTAATTTCAGCTTTATTTGTTAATAATTTTGAATTAATTAAATATGTTTGTTCAGTTTTATGTTTTCCATGAGTTATTTTATTACAATTAATACAATAATATAATAACCATGAATCAAGAGGCACTTTATATATCAAATCGTTATGATTTATAGTCGTTGATAAATCTGATACCGGTCCAATTGCCTAAAAAGAAAAAGTAAATAAAATTATTATTATTATTATTGTTTTAGAGTCCTACAATTTTAGATTTAAATATAATTATTTAAATAAGGTTTTTTATTAAGAATTCTAAAAATAATAGGATTAGTTGTTGTGTTTTAACTCAATTATAAATTAAAAATTAATTACTCCTACGTCATTTTTACTGATACAATGTGCTAAAAATTTTACACACATTTTCGATACGATTTCATTTACATATTTACAATTACTTTAAAAGTCTTAAAATAATACAAGCAATTAAAAATACTATTTGAATTTACGTCAGTAAATTACTTAAAACAAAAAACGTTGAACATTTTTATCTAGTTTGTAAACATTTATTTTTATTTTGTCCAAAACTATAAAATCAGCGAGTACAATATTATCTAAAATTATTTTTCAAATTTGATCGTCAGGAAGTCTATTAACAATAAAATTATTATACAATTTACATGATATACATACTTATAAATTCACTTAACACGTCAATGTCTAAACAAAAATAAATGAAATCAGTTTAAATAAATAAAATTGATCTTTGTATCTGAAAACGTGCTGCAGAAAAAATTAATTTCAGAATATTTTGAAATTAAATACAATGTTTAAAAAACAACAGGATTATTGTTCATTGATTTTCTTAGGAATTATTTGTTTTTCTAATAAAAATAGGTAGGCAACATAGGTAGGTGATTTTAATTTATTATCAATTAGTAGAAATTGAGGTTGACTTTAGATAGTAGGCTATTACTAAAGAGAGATATGGACAAGTTTCCCTCGTTTTTCAGATGGTAACAATATTTTTAAAATTTCTAAAAATTTTTGATAAGTTTTCCATTGAAAAGGATCAAAATAATTATGGAAATTTAAAAATTATTATTAAAAATTCTTTTAATAAGACTAAAACTTAGTAATGAAACAATAATTTTTGGATTAGAAGTTGTTTAGGAATATTTTGCTCAGCTTGCTTACTTTCTATTAATGAAAATTTCTTAATATAATAGTAAAAAAAATGTTCTTTTTTTGCATAAAATATAAATATTCTTCATTCGGAAGTTGCTAATTACCTCATAAATTTGAAAACAGAAAAACAACAATTTTCCGCTGTGAAATGTCAAAATTCATATAAGTAGAATACATATATACATACATAAGTATATATTAATGGGATTGACAAGAATGTAGTGAAATTATCGATGCGAATTTTATTGACTGCGGTATTTTATTTACTTTCAAATCAGAATTCTCCGTTTTTCAAATCGATATTCCATTTTTTCAATAAGATTACTCATTTTTTCTCAAATTATAGACTGAAAGTGTCACTTTAAAAAACAAAGTGAATAAATTTTGTATAAGTACATTTTAGAAAAAAACGATAAACGAAATTTTCGAAATTCTTGTCACTCGAAAATTACATTATATAAATATGTATGTAATAGTTGCTCACTTTCTTCTCATTTGCCAAGTAAAATAGCGAGATAGACGATCAGGCTGACAATTTTTTATCGCTTAAAATTTTTTTTAACTTCATCTGTGTACATGCATGTGTGCCATTATATGCAAAATACTGAGCAACTGATTTTGCCGTTCCGCTATTTTTCTTTTTTAACAACGGAAATTGTTCTACACTTTGATTCTGTTTTTACTTACAGCAGGGGAATTACTTATACAATTCAGAGAGGTAATAAGGAAAGTATTCTACCAGAGAGGTAGAAAGGAAAAGGTAATAAGTACAAAGTATGTGATTATTCCTTTGTTGAACTTTTATAAATTCTTGCTTATATTGTTACATACCATTACCATTTTATTAGCGAGTAAGCTAAAGTTTCATTTTTACTAATTTAATTTTTTTTTAGTTAAAAAATTTATTTTAAATTAAAAAGTTTAAATTTTAAAATTTTAGTTAGGATTTACTTGCCTATCCAGTCCGAAAATAATTATATATTTTTTATAAATAATTTATTTGAATTTCTTTTATTGTATTTTAATGTAAAATATCATAGAAAATTATGTAAAATTATATTATTAGTTAAAAAAACACGAAAATGTACATATGTACATTTGTAAACACTTATTTTATATCTATGCAAGTAGCTTATACTTTTTTTTTAAATTATTTATAATAATTTATTAGTAATACGGGACAGCAATGACAGCTTTTGTTGTTACTTGTTTTGTTAAAACTTATTAACTGAAATATTAAGGAATTTACTGATTCCTTTTATTTTATATAATATTATTAAGATTGGTATTTATTCTTTTCTAATCGTGAAAACAAAAAAAATAAATAAAAAATATTGAAAAAAAAACTGATATATATACATATATGCACGCATATACAGAAACCAAAATCTATTTTAACGTCATGACACTTTATGTTATCCATAAATTTATTGTTGTCAATATACATTTTATGTATACGTATGTATGTATATGTACAAATTGATAATAAATATGATAATAAAATATTAAATGAGTGTGCAAATACAGAGTGTGACTTTAAATTTAATATTTATCTGATCTTTTAATAGAGAAAGCTGACGGTAAATGCTATTCGAGTAATTATTACTATTATGTCAACGCTTCTTTCAATTTGTTTTTCTCTCATCTTAAATATATGCAATCTATATTTAATGAAATATTTTGATATATGAATGAAAGTAATTTTAAAATGTAATAAATTGTTTTTAAGAGCAGTATTTAAGAGAAAAGTGCTACTTTACAAACTAATTGTACAATTTTATTTATATACTAAGCTGCATATTATTGCATTTTGGAAGACAAGGATAAGAGAGAAATTAAAATATTTCATTAAACTTGGTAAGCATTAAAATACTTTGAAAAATTTCAATTTTAATATTGAATAAAAAAAAAATTAATATTGAGTATAATTAAAAATTCGCTCTCGATACTTTTATATTTAATAATAACACGATTTTAATGAACTATTCAGCTTATGAGTAGTAATCGCTATGTAATAGTAATATGAGTAGTAATTGTTTAACAATGCAGTATTACTATTGAGTTTAATATATAAACCTTGCCAGACTTAATTATAATTTCATTATTATTTGAATAATTTTTAATAATAATGTTTTTTTTTTTTCAACTGAAACACTATGTACATTGCCATTTATATATTATATTATATTATATAAAATTGTTGAATAAAAATATTGTTAATTTAATTTTGTTTTTTTTCTATTTTATTGTATATATATGTATCTAATTTTTTATATAAGAATATTGGTATTCTTTTTTGTTTTATAGCAAGTACATATTAACATTGTGACAATATATAAATAAAATACTTATATATTTAAATAAAATATTCAAAATGATAAGAATCTTTGTGCTTATATACAACATTTAATATATGAAAGAATAAATTAAAATAATAATGTATAAGTATCTAAGAATAAATATACTTATATATATGTATATTAATATTCAGCAACAGCTGAATTCTTAAGAAATTAAATTAAAAAAGAATCTTGTGCTTTTTAGGATTACTCAATATTAGAGCACAAAAAACTAAAATAAATAAAATAAAAAATTATACAATTGATGAGGAGAAGAGAAGGAAAAAAAAACAAGTCAGAATCACACGCCAATTTCTAAAATGAGAAATATTAATTATTTTAGACGGATGATTTAATTTACAAAAAAAAAATAAAAAACAAAATAATTAACTAAAAAAAAATTTATAAAAAAAAGTTTTCTTGTATTTAATATCGAAATTTTTAATTATAAGGTAAAAACTTTTTGTATAAAATTAGTAGGTTCGACGTGTGTATCCCAAACACAAAAAGAAATTTGAATTGTAAGAATACATGTAATATTGATAATTCTTACAGTTTTATGTATCTACTACCACAGAACATCATCAATCTGATGATCGTGTCCATCACGACCAATCACTTTAATTTGTAAATAAGAGTCATACTTATATGCATATAAAGCAACTTTTATCAGCTGATATTTCATAATTTATAGATAAAAATTTTTCTTTTCTTACCTGTTTTCTTTTTGTACATCAAAATCAATAATTTTTATTATTAACAATTAGTTTTTGTAAATACGAAAAAAAAAGATCTGAAAATGACAATCATTTGCGTTAGGAAGAAAAATTGGAATTCATGACATTTGCAAATTATGTTCAAATGATGTTCTGGGAACTGCTCATATTTTATGCCTTTTTTTAGGCAGGTACATATTCATTTAATTACTCATACACAACTTCACGTGTATTTAATTAGATATTTCTTGTTTTAATCATTTAAAATATTTTTTATATCAAATAACAATAACAAATTTAAGTACATAACAATATTGTTTACATATATAAGTAAATATTCACTTTTATTATTTATATTTAAATTAAAAACAGAAATAAACAAAAATTTTATTTATTTTGCTTTATGATATTTTCTATTGAATTCGATAAATTCTAGATAATTTTAAATACTTTAATATAATCTAGATTAAATAATTAATTTAATCAAATAGTAATCGTATGTGTATATGTATATGTATAACATTTTATGAGTAAACATTGATTAATTTCATAAACATATTTTGAAATATTTTTCAAATTTTTTTGAATTGCATCAGCATTTTTATTTAAATTACTTTTATTACATGTCTACAAATAAATGATTTTAGTAAATCACAATATTATGTATATGTATGTATGTAAGTGCATTATCAAAAACAATTAGTTAGTATTCAGATTACAAATATTGTTTATATTTTTGTGAACAGATGTTTGGTTTAGAATTGGTTTTAATGTTTTAAAAAAAAAATATCAATATGAAATTCTTTTTTGAGTTTCATTAAACGATATTCAAGAGAGTTTAATGATCCCAATGTATTGAAATCTATTAACTCTTAACTCTTGTCCGGCCATATCTTGAATACGCATCGCAGGTTTGGTTCCTAATTTACAACGTTATACAAGGTTATTCAAAAAATTTAAGTTTTCC